CCTTAAAAAACACAGATGACCATAGTTGATTTTTTTACATAGAATCAAATAGAGAAAAAAAGAAAATGTGATCGCATATCTTTCACTCCTAGTGAGCTACCTTTTTTAGAGCATAAAAAAACAAGGCAAAGAGCCAAGATTCAAGCAAAATCATTGATTCCAATCATTTTTTTATATCAAGTGCAATACAGGAAAAGATATCATTTTTTTTTTGTAAAATATATGCCCATTTTGAATTTGATGCAAGCAACATGTTTTAAAAAAGTTGGGACAGGTTCATGTTTACCACTGTGCTGCATGATCTCTTTTTTTAACAACACTGTGGAGACACTGCTGTAGTTTTGAAAGTGTAATGTTTTACCATTCTTGCTTGATACAGGATTTCAGCTGATCAACAGTTCAGGGTTTCCTTTATCGTATTTTGTGTTTCATAATGTGCCAAATGTTTCAGTGGGTGTCATGTCTGGACTGCAGGCAGGTCAGGTTCGCACCAGGACTCTTTTTCTATAGAGTCATGCTGTTGTACTATGTGCAGAATGTGGTTTGGCATTGTCTTTCTGAAATAATCAAGACCTTCCCTGAAAAAGACCCATGCAGTGGTTTCCACTACAGAATCATGTCTGTTTTTAATGCAGTGCTGTCTGAGGGCCCAAAGATCACGACTAGCCAATATTAGTTTTCAGCCTTGTTTCTTGCATACAGAGATTTCTCCAGATTCTCTGAATCTTTTAATGATATTATGTACCGTAGATGATGAAAATTTGCTATTTTATGTTGAGAAACGTTATTCTTGAATTGTTGCACTATTTGATGGTGCAGTCTTTCACAGAATGGTGAACCCCTCCTCATCTTTACTTCTGGAAGGCTCAGCCTCTCTGGGATGCTCTTTTTATACCCAATAATGCTACTGACCTGTTGCCAAGTAACCACAAGTTTTTTATAGCATTACACAACTTTACCATTCTTTTGTTTTTTTTAAATCTTTTTTTTTAAACATGTTGCAGTTTTAATATTTGATATGTTTTCTCTGTACTATATTCAATTAAATATAGGATTTAAATGATTGGCACATTATTGCACCTGTTTTTATTTACAATTTGCACAGCGTCCCAACTTTTTTGGAAATGGGACTGTAGAACCATTCCATGCTAAAATGGTTCTTTGCATGGTGAAATTGTTGAATGGTTCTGTACAGCACCAAATTGGGGTCTTCTATTGTTACAACATCGAGCTTGTAACAATAGCAGAACACTTTTGGCGCTATATAGAACCATTTTCGAAAAGGGTTTATATACCATATACAACACATTCCCCTTCAATATGAACGCAATTAGGTACGCAAATGGTTCCTTATAGAACTCATGGTTCTAAGTAGAACCATTCCCTTGAAGAACTCTTGAAGAACCATCTTTTTCAAGAATGTTGGTAAAATTTTTCATGGTAATCTAGGCATAACTGCTAAATTCACGTATCAGAATCTGTAATCTCCCTCTTGGTGCATTTATGCAGTTTTAAAGTATTCTGATGCCTGAAGTTCTTCCCACAGTCTGAGCAGTAATACGGTTTCTCTCCTGTGTGAATCCGCTGGTGTATTTGAAGATTAGCCTGTTGGGCAAAACTCTTCCCGCACTCAGAGCAGTGAAATGGCTTCTCTCCTGTGTGGAGGCGCTGGTGATCCTGGAGATGATTCTGTTGGGTGAAGCTCTTGCCGCACTCTGAGCAGTAAAATGGTTTCTCTCCTGTGTGAGTGCGCTTGTGTTTCTGGAGATGACTCCGCTGGGTAAAACTCTTCCCACACTGAGAGCACTGAAACGGCTTCTCTCCTGTGTGAATGCGCTGGTGTGATTGAAGAAGACTTGGAACAAAAAAGCTCTTCCCACAGTCCAAGCAGTGATAGGGTTTCTCTCCTGTGTGAATCCGCTGATGTGATTGGAGATAACTCTGCCGACTGAAACTCTTCCCGCAGTCTGAGCAGTGAAACAGTTTCACCAACATGTGAACGTGCTGGTGTTTTTGGAGACTGCCCAGCTGAGTAAACCGTTTCCCGCACTCTGAACAGGCATATGGTTTCTCTCCAGTGTGGATGCGCTGGTGTATTTTGAGAGAACCTCCATTTTTAAAGTTCTTCCCACACTCTGAGCAGTGGTGAGTCTTTTCTTTGGCTGTACTTTTTGGCATTTTCTCAGGACCTGTGTTAACGTGGAGACTACCAGACGACACTGGCTGAGTATGGGGGCTTTTTCTGGATGCCATATTCTCATATTTTATCTCTCTGTTTCAGCGATGCGACAAATTACTCTTGGAGATCTCCTGTGAAAGTTCTGCAGAAGAAGATTAGGACAGCATTCATTCCTGGAGAACGAAAAACAAAACACAATTATTCAGTAGTTTCTCCCTGTTGTGGTGATCCCTAAACTACACTACTTTAGTCAAACAGTGGAATCAGAATCTGTTTATGTTTTGAGCTTTTTTTCTGGATTCTAGGCTATTTGTCCCACATATGGCCGAGTGTGAAAGCTGTTTTTGAATCCTGGTGCGGTCCACAGCCTGTGAGAAAGCTCACCACACTACATTGGTCCTAATCCACTGACAGATTTATAGACAAGTTTAAAATCAATACTGTGACTAACTAGCAGCCGGTGTGGAGATCTTGTCTGACATAAGCCAAGTGTAGCTGCTGTCCTCACAAACAAACAACTGAATCTGGCACTGAACTGGGGTCTGCTGACACCGAGAAGTGTTACTGACTGTGGAGGTCAGACACAAAGCCATCGGTCACTTTAAACATTCCGCCTTGGTATATTCCCACCAGACGTGCCATGTGTGATTTTAGCCTGTTTTAAGCGCACACCAACACATTCACAACTGCAATATGGGTGGAGACAAAGAGGCTAAAAAATGGAGGCATAAAATTTGCTACCAAAGTCCATAAATGCTGACCTTACATGCCAACATGCCGGTTTCTCTAGCAGACTATCCATCCACTAGCTGCATTTTGAGATGTGAGACTTGCACTGTAGGAGAGTTACACACTGTCTGATATAAACTACCCTATACAGATATCTGATATATGGCCATACATGCACATATATCACAAAGGCTCAGGCATAGAAAACAAAATATATAAGCATCAAATACTGAACACACACACACACACACACACATTTTCTAAGCCACTCATCCTTCTGGGTCGCAGTGGGATCTGGAGCCTTTCCCAGCAGTCATTGGATGGGAGGCAGGATACACCCTGGACAGGTCACCAGTCCATTGCATGGCAGACAGACAGACATATACATTCACACATACACTCACATCTATGGGCAATTTAGCGTGTCCAATTAGCCTGACTGCATGTCTTTGGACTATGGGAGGAAACCGGGGGAACCTGGAAGAAATCCATGCAGACACAGGGAGAACATGCATACTCCACACAGAAAGGACCCTGGTCGCCCAGCCAGGGGAATCAAACCCAGGCAAATACTGAACACATATGCGGAATATAAGGATTGTACATATATGTCTGACATATCATTAAACACATCCTAGTACAATTGTAACCCTTACTATGTTAACTTAGTTAATGTTTTAATGATTTTGTTGCGTAGCTTACAGTGTGCATGTTTTTAGAGTTTAGACACATAAAACCTGATATTACATAGCTTTAAACTAGCATATATGAGTAACATGTCATCCACACATGAATAATGTTTATGTTAGATATGTGCTACACATATGGTTGTATATGTTCATATGTGGCTGAAACATCTGTCTCATATTTGAAGAAGGCCAATCTCAAACAAGTTGGCATATATGTAACTTAAATGCCTATATGTGAATAATATGTTATATATAAAAGAAATCCATATGCTGACGTGTAATATATTTTAAACTTGTACACTGCTATTTTTTGTACACTAAAACAAAGATGATTAGTAAAGTTTTTAACATTATTTAGATCAAATCAGCTCAGCTCTCAGAATCTCTGGGCACCAGTTAAATCAGTCCGAGGGGATGCACACTACTGTTTATCAGATTAACTGCAGTAACTGTAATCTCTGCTCACCTGTCAGCCTTTTAGAGCCACAAATAACACTGTTCTTCTTCTTCACTAAATTATAATAAATAAAGGGTTTCTCTGAACAGTGGAACATGACAAAAGACTGTCTTTATAATATAAACACACACAGGAGAGCACGAATTACTGCAATAAATAAATAGGGAGCTTTTATTGTAAATCACGTATAAAGCATAAACAAAAAGCTCTACGTTTGGCAGCCTCATTATTTTAAATCAAAACCGCCAACAGATCAGTCTGGAGAAAGGCTGCTTCACCATGAGCGAACATCTCTCCACTCTGTTCTCCAGGAGTCAATGAAGAACATGAAAAAATACAATGTGAAAAAAGTGTCCTACCTTCATCAGAGCTGATCAGAGCGGAGCTTCTGCTTCTCCGCTTTACTGGGGTTGGAGAAGCTCACTAATACAATTGGCGCCCCCACCTGGACTGCAGGAGAACCACACTGAAACCACGTGGTCACGGAGTCTGGCAGAACTCAGTTTTTTGTTTAGTTTCTTTGACCCCACCCGTATTCCGACAAACCCTGCCTCCTGCGCTACAATTGGCTGCCATTTTCAGAAGCAGTCCGCTGATTGGTCTTTCACATTACAGTAGCAACCAGAGACCACAGTGGATTTTTTTTTTTACCAGACACTAAGAATGAAATGTAAGAATGTTATTTTCATTTTCAGGTAAGCTGAACACAGTGAGATTCTGCAGTGACTGTTATGGGGATGAAGCCTGTGCGATAATATATATATATATATATATATATATATATATATATATATATATATATATATATATATATAGTTATTTTTCATACACTGTCAACCATATTTGATAAACATATTTTGTTATATTTCCATGTAGGGAAGTAGATGCTGGTTCATTATCTGCTTCAAAGACACATGACCATAACATGAATGAAATTAATTTTTTAATGAAACGGCAGGTAGATGCAAATGGTTGATGCAAATGATGCAAAGTGTTCTTTGAGTGTTCATGGTTCTATACAGAGCCATTTTCTTTACTAAAGAACTGCTGAAGAATCATCTCAAGAGTCCAAAAGTCGGTTTCACTCCAAAAGTGTTGTGTTGTTCTTGCGGGTGCTGTGTTAAACACTGCTCGCTGTTTCCGGGACAGCGCTCTGTTTTCACACATGCGCAGATTGAGAGAAACAAAAGAAATCAGAGGGTCTACATGCACTGAGAAACCCCATTACTGAGCTCAGATCCAGCCTCTTTATCAGATTTCTAGAACTTGATCTGACTTAAGAACTCAGAGTGCGCTGTTTACACGACCACATAATTATCCAATAACTGCAGCAATCTGATAGTGATTGAATTATTAAGGGCTTGTAAACACACTCAATGTGAGGCAAGAAGTTCTCACACTGTTGATGTTCTTCCCTGATATCTTTGAAGCAACATGTTAGAACATCACCAACACACTGAACTGTGGGATACATACTTAGCCCAACTTGGACAAAGTAGTTACATTTTTATGAGAAAATGTGCTTATAATTTGTAATTCATTGTTAGAGTAAGAGCTATAGGACACGATTTATAGACAAAGATATTATTTTACCTAGAGACAAATCATTGGATAAGACCAGTCAACAAGTCAGTTCAATTTATGTGGGCATAAATACTCTGTACTCTGACATCCATCTGACATCCATGATGTCTCCAACAGTCATTGTCAGTCAGGTCCAAGACTTCCGGTCGTCTTAAATAAACTCAAAACAGTCACTTTATGCCACGTCCATGATCTTGGGCATCATTACCATGTCTCCCCGGGCAGTTTGAAGAGGAACACCTCATTCATAGGCAGCTTCTTAATGAATAATAACCTTCTAAGCACATATTGTGGTGCTCAGAAAACAAGCAAAGATCCAAGAAAATACAGGAATAAAAGTAACCTCATTCACATTAATCTGATCATAAAACTAATCATGAAAATTCATTGTTTTGATAGGACCAATTCACACATCACAACCTGTCAACTCCCTCTTGGTGCATTTATGCAACTTTAAAGTATTCTGATGTCTGAAGCTCTTCTCACAGTCTGAGCAGTAATATGGTTTTTCTCCGGTGTGGATACGCTGGTGTTTTTGGAGAGTACTCTGTTGATTAAAATGTTTCCCACATTCAGAGCAGTGAAACGGCTTTTCTTCTGTGTGAATGCGGTGGTGATCTCGGAGATGATTCTGTTGGGTGAAACTCTTCCCACACTCTAAGCATTGATATGGTTTCTGTCCTGTGTGAATCCGCTGGTGTGTTTCAAGGTGACTCTGTCGACCAAAGCTCCTCCCACACTCTGAGCAGACATGCGGTTTCTCTCCTGTGTGGATGCGCTGGTGTTTTTGGAAAGTACTTTGTGCAGTAAATCTTTTCCCGCAGTCAGAGCAGTGAAACGGCTTCTGCCCTGTGTGAATACGCTGGTGTGTTTTCAGGGTACCTGCATCTTTAAAACTCTTTCCACAGTCTATGCAGTGATAGGGTTTCTCTCCTGTGTGGATGCGCTGGTGTGATTGGAGACTACTTTGTGCAGTAAAACTCTTTTCACAGTTTGAGCAGTGATACGGTTTCTCTCCTGTGTGAATGCGCTGGTGTGTTCTGAGGGTACCTCCATCTTTAAAACTCTTCCCGCACTCTAAGCAGTGATACGGTTTCTCTCCAGTGTGGATACGTTGGTGTGCTTGGAGACTGCTCTGCTGAGTAAAACTCTTCCCACACTCTGAGCAGACATACGGTTTCTCTCCTGTGTGGATCCGCTGGTGTATTTTGAGGGAACGTCCGTTTCTAAAATTCTTCCCACACTCTAAACAGTGGTGAGTTCCTTCCTTGGCTGTAGTTTTTTGCATTCTCCTAGGAGCTGCATTGACATGAAGACTACCAGACGACATTTGCTGAGTAGTGGAGCTTCTGGAGAAGGCTTAGAATAGAACAGCATTCATTTCTGGAGAAGAAATGCAGAAGATAATTACTCAGTGGTTCCTCACTGTTGGAGATTCCTACACTACACTTTAGTTATACAGTGGAGTTACCAATAAGAATCTATTCATGTGTTCTGTTTTGAGCTTTTTTTTTTTGACTCAAGGCTGTTTGACCTGAGAGTTCAGGCAAAGTTTAACAAGTTTATAATCAGTTCTGTACAGCCAGTGTAGAGGTCTTGAGCTGCTTTTCAACCGCTTGGTACTGGCTCAACTCAGTTTAACTCTACTTGCCTTTTTTGGCTGTCCATTTGGGCAAACCTGGTACCTGGTACCATTTTTGATATTACCTCTGTCAAGGTTCCAAGTGAGCTGAGTTAATACCAGAGGCTGGCATGGGAAAAACTGCAGACTGCTGACACCCTAAAGACATATGCTAACGTTACCTACCAGTTTAGTGTACCCTCTCGCATTACCTATAATCTTATAATCTTGACATCCAAAATCTGATGCAGTATTTCTAAAACTCTCCTGACATTTTTTTGCTGCGATCAGCTTGTTCTAAATACAATTTGTCTCCTTCACTGATTTTGTTACTGCTTTAATATGCCTGCCGAAACTAAGATCTGAATCCATTAGTACACTCGGGTTTCTGACTCGGCCATTAGAGCCATGTATGCTCTTATACACACACACATTTATAATTAATCAATAAGAGATTTGTCTACAGAGAGCATGGCTTGCTCAATACTTTGAATACTACTTTGATACTTCAAAACAGGGATTTACGAGCTGAATGTGGAGTTTGATACACGTCAGCCATCAGAAACATTGTGTACCTGGTTGAAAACCAGCACAAACTATAAAAGTCCTTTACAAGCCTTCAGATTCAATGATATTTAACTTGAGACGGCATCTGTACTTTTAGTTGATGAGTTTGCTGGGAAAGGCCCAAGACTAGATGTGAAATGTTCTTTCTTAATAAACAGTTTTTCCTGTAAATATATGCTCATTCCAAAATTGATGCCTGCAACACACCCCAAAAAATTTGAGACAGGAGCAACTTAATGCCAAGTACATTGTAAAATGTTCAAAAAATACCTTTAACAGGTGATGCAATCTTGGTTGACGAATACAGAGAAATCTCTATGTGTAAAGGGTAAGGCCAAAAACCACAGCTGAATGCCCATGACCTTTGATCCCTCAGATGGCATGTTTCTGTGATGGATATCACCAAGAGTTCAGGAACACTTTAACAAACTGTTGTCAATAAACAGCATCCACCACTGTAAGACTGTACTGTGCACAGTGGAAGTCCTGTATCAACAACATCCAGAAACACCGCCAACTTCTCTGAGTTCAAGCTCATCTGAAATGGACTGATGCTCAGTGAATATGTGCACTGTGGTCTCACGAGCCGATCTTTCTGATTGTTTATGGAAATAATGGATGTTGTGTTCTCCAGGCTAAACAAGAAAAAGACCATCCAGATTGTTACCAGCGTAAAAGTTCATAATCCAGTGTCTGCTAGTTCAGGCACCATTAACGCTGAACACATACTGAACAACATATTCTGCCTTCCGGACGCCATCTTTTAACAGGGACGTCCATGCTTATTTCAACATGACAACAAGAAACATTCTGCACATAACCAGAGTAACCCTGCTAAACTGACCTGCCTGCAGTCCAGAATGGCCTCTCATTTAAACGTGTGCAAAACACAATGAAGAACCCATGCAGGATAAATTTCACTTCCAAAACTGGATTAGTTTCTGTCTTCAGTTTCTAAAAACTTATTATGTGTTGTTTAAAGGACAAGTGATGTGACACTGTGTTAAACATGCTCCTGTACTGACTTTTTGGGAATGTGATGAAGGCATCAAATTTGGAATGAACATATATTTACCAAGAAAATTATGTCATAAGGTAAAATAAAACATTGCGGTTTTGTACGTTTCAGTTTAATCCAAGTCAAACAGAATTAACTGATTTCATTAGCATTTCACACACTGTTCCAACTTTTTCAGAATTGAGTTTGTAATATGGAAAACGAGGTTTAGAATACAAGTGTGAGAGGATTTTCATCTTGACAATCCCACCAATAAAATATCATCTTTTTGTTAACTGTGACAATAGATTTTTAAAAAGAAAAACATTGCACACTGGTCTTGGTTTGGGCAAAGCCTCGCCGACACACTGAAGCGCAAGTATAGTGTATTTATTGCCCAACAGAAAGTGTGGTAAAGCTGGGTATCACATGCTTTGAAGCACCATTTGACTTCAATTGTGTTACTGCTTCAAACGCCTCGTTCTGCTCAACACTGATCTGCAGTGTAACGTGACAAAGAATGGCGACCACCAGAGGACAGATTATGATCATTATTACTATAACAAATAATAACGGGATTTTCACATAAATCATAAAGAAAACCATCTACGTTTGCCACCCCCAACTATTATTTTCAAACAACGACAGCCAACACATCAGTCTGGACACAGGCTGTTAAAGCGAACATCTCTCCACTGTTAACACTGATAAAGAGTTAATCAGGTTCTACCTCGATGAGAGCAGCTCCTGTTTGTCTCCTCCAACAACACTGTAGAAGCGCGAAGGCGTGGACTGCTGACCAGAGCGGAGCTTCTGCTTCTCCGCTTTACTGGGGTTTTAGAAGATCGGTTGTGGAATTAGCGCCACCAGCGCTACACATGATCAACAACACGATCACAGAGCCTGGCATTACTTTTTATCCCACCTGTATTCGGACATACCCCACCTCCTGCGCTCAGGCTCTACAGTTCTAAACACCGAGTTTTGCGCCGATCCAGCCCAACGCGAAGAATTACATCACTGTATACCTACCCTGCTGAAAGACCACTAGGATTAAGACCTGGTATTTTTGCTTTCTTTTGAGAATTGGCTAAATGGTTACTATTGGAGACCAACTAGCTTCCTTTAGGACACATTTTATTCCATCAGGAAACCATCAGATGCATCTGGAATCAAAACACCTGTTAAACCATTAGAGTCCTTTACATTGTGATATCAACCCATCAGGAGAATACACAATACTATTAGAGACTATGGGACACCAGCAGGAATCAGCAGAACCTTTTAATAGTTTATATGTTTTTTCCAGCAGGGTAGGTAAAGTGTTAGTTCTATATGGAACTGGATGAGATCAAGTATGTTTCCCAGCCTTACTTTTAACCAGGGATGGAGCTCCTGGAGGGCCGGATTCCTGCACAGCTGGATGAGTTTCTTGCTCAAGCGCACTTGATAAGTTAATTACCAGGTTTAGGAAAATGACCAAACTGTGCTGACTCTGGGCCTCAGCTCCCAACCATGCTTAACACTATATCTGTTATTCATGAATTTTATCAATCTAACAATGTTTTATCTTTGAATCTCACTATATAACCAAGGCCAGATTAAGACCTTTTGGTGCCTCTGGGTGTGACAGTTATAATGCCCCACGCCCAAGCACTCTGCAAGCATCACAGTCTCCTATTGCAAGTACCACATATTCACTGATTCACCTTGTCACTCTTCTGCTGAATTGTACTACTCATTCTTCATAATGTCTCGTTCATGTCTCAAATTAACGTTCTCAGCAAACACCTTATCAAGATCAGCCAGGTATGTAGATGAGAGGCCCTCAGTTCATTTGACCAAGATCCCCAATGTCACAGTGCCAAAACCACAATTCTGTCTGTCCAAGTAAGGATTTCATGCTGGGAGTAATAAAAACAATGCAATCCATATGCATCCACAAGAAATATACAAAATAGAGCAAAAAAAAGAAACATATAAAGCCTGTGAGCAACGTATATAAAGATATTGCAGCATACATAAAAATTGCCTAATCAGGCCTTCATGATTCATTTATTTGCTCTGGGATCTATTTTGTATATTTCTGGTGGATGCGTATGGATTACATTGTTTTTATTACACCCAGTGTGAAATCCTTATTTTGAGTTTGCTACACCCATGCCCTAGGCACACCTGTCCTTTTGTCTGTTTTACCCACACTGACCAAATTTAAGGCAGACATAATGATTTACAGCTGAATTATTGTACATAGACTGACTAGTAAATTGTATGTTTAAAAAATGTGTTATCAGATCATTAAAAACATTTTACTTAAGGGAACTGCCACTCAGCGCTTCACTGCAGCACTTCAGAGGATTGGCGGCTATCTATAGCGAAACTCTTCTGCTAGGCCATGGCTGACCAGACAACTAAAACCCCCATGTTCATCACATTCAATATCTATACTGAATAGTATAGTATATAGTAGATATCTCAGTTTCAACAGCAGTTTGCTGACTATCTTGACCAATGATGATTGTCCTGAAAAACAACATGTACACACATGCTGTATTTCCTTTGGCTCCATATTCATTTCCTTCTAGAACTGCTGTGGAATCAGCAGTGTGGATTGTGTGAAGTAGCTAATTTGTTGTTTTGTTGGTTGCAATGGTGAAACAAACATTAAATCAACTCACTACTCTTGGTACTAGAAGCCAATCACAGCGCAGGAGGTCTGTGTTGCTCATGCAGCATTTTGGTTTCCATGGTAATGTGAACATCCAAGCACTGGAATACTTGTTGACCTCAGAACTGACCTGGGCTGGATACTTTTTGGATCAGCAGGGTTTATGAATCTTTTAAGTCAGAGCAGAGCAACAATGAAATTTTACTGTTTTATGGCATTTATTTTACACTGAACACTATTAAGAAATCAAATTTAAAAATCATACAACATCTTAAGATAACTCTGTGTTGTACTACTGAAATAGGTAACCAACCCACACTTTAAAAAGATGGTCCTTCAAGGGTTTTAGTGAAGGCAATCGTTCTATTCACAACCATAAGTTGTATATAGAACCATTTGCATGCTTCAGTGGTTCTTTGCATGGTGAAAATGTTCTTCAGACTAAAGGAGAATGTGTTGTATACAGTTCTATATACAACCTTTTTGAAAAAGTACCAAAAAGCTTGATATAGCAATAACAGAATAAACCATTTTGTTGCTATATAGAACCATTTTCAAAAAAGTTCTAGTACAAGAAATCAGACCGATACCCAATACCCAATGTATCAGTGCATAAAAAACTTGATAAGATCAGTCAATGTGCGTGAAGTTCATGCAGATCTGTGACATCCAAGTTGGTGATGACTCCAGCAGTCATTCTCATTTAGGTTCAAGAGCTCCAATGGTCTTAAATGAACTCACTTAATGCATCATCCATGACATTAAGCAGCGTGTCTCCCAGGATACTTTAAATATGAACATGAACAAGTCCTCATCTCGAATATAGAGGTCTTCTCAAGGAACAATCACTCTGTATGTTCAGTGGTGTTCGGAAATTTAGTGAAGAACAAAAAATTACACAGGTAATAAAGGTCACACCATTCATGTTGCCCTAACCACAAAACTAATCATGAAAATTGTTTTGTTTCAACAAATTCATGCATTACAACCTCCTTCTTGGTGCATTTATGCATCTTTAAAGTATACCAGTGCCTGAAGCTCTTCTCACAGTCTGAGCAGTGATATGGTTTCTCTCCAGTATGAATGCGCTGGTGACCTTGGAGATGATTCCTTTGAGTAAAACTCTTCCCGCACTCTGAGCAGGCATACGGCTTCTCTCCTGTGTGAAGGCGCTGGTGTTTTTGGAGATTACTCTGTTGATTAAAACTCTTTCCGCAATCTGAGCACTGAAACGGTTTCTCTCCTGTGTGAATGCGCTGGTGTGACTGGAGATGACTATGCGAAAAAAAACTCTTCCCACACTCTGAGCAGTAATATGGCTTCTCTCCTGTGTGAAGGCGCTGGTGTGACTGAAGATGACTACGTGCAGTAAAACTCTTCCCGCAGTCCGAGCAGTGATACGGTTTTTGTCCTGTGTGGATGTGCCGGTGTTTTTGAAGACTACTGTGTGCAGTAAAACTTCTCCCACAGTCTGAGCAGTGATATGGTTTCTCTCCAGTGTGAATGCGCTGGTGTTTTTGGAGACTGCTCTGTTGAGTAAAACACCTCCCGCAATCTGAGCAGTGATATGGTTTCTCTCCTGTGTGGATGCGCTGGTGTTTCCGGAGACTACCCAACTGAGTAAACCGCTTCCCACACTCTGAGCAGTAATACGGCTTCTCTCCAGTGTGAAGGCGCTGGTGTGTTTTGAGGGAACCTGCATTTTTGAAGTTCTTCCCACACTCTGAGCAGTGGTGAGTTCCCTCCATGGCGGTAACCTTTTGCATTCTTTTGGAAGCTGACATTTGCTGAGCAGTCGAGCTTATTGTGGATGCCATGTACTCATATTTTAGCTTTCCATTTTAGTGACATATTCCTCTTGGTAGCACCTCCTGAAGTGTGTGAAGAAAACTCTGTAGGAAAGTTTGGCAAAATAAGAATTAGATCAGGACAGCATTCGTTCACAGCATTAAGTTTTTTCTCTATTTTTCCTATGATTTGGATTTTATGTTTGCCTTCAACAACATCTAAAATTATTAGAAAGGTTGTATCTGTTTCTTATTATTAAATTTCATCATATTTTAAAATGAAAGCAATTACCCTTTACTAAAACTTAGCATGAATGAACAAATATTGTTCATACACTTAGAATAATTGGAGCAAAGTGCACTTTTTAGGACTTAAATAAGCGTAAAGTATGAAAATCTGAACTCTTAAAAAAGATGGTTCTTCAAGGGTTCTTTAGTAAAGACAATGGTTCTATAAAGAGCCATGAACTCTCAAAGAACCATTTCCATGGTGAAAGTTCTACATCAAAAAGGGTTCTTCTATTGTAACAAGCTTGACATTGTAACAATGGCAGAACCCTTTTTTGTGCTATACAGAACCAAATACAACACAATCAACTAAATCCCCCTACCCTCACCCCTCCCTTTCCAAGCACGTAGTAAACCTAAGGTGGCCATCAGGTTTTCTGCCATTGCCTGTCCCAATTTGGTTTTGCTTCTTTATATTTCTGCTTCTTTGACGGTGAGGATTCACCCCCTCTCGCTTTGTCTTGTGCTAAATAATAAGCTTGATCCTCCATTTGTCAGAATTTGGGTCCTCAAACTAGACAACACAAAATGGTCAGCCAGCACAGCAGCAACCACTGATTCTGAGAACCATCAATGGTTGCTGCCGGTGTATACAGTTGTATAAGGTTCTACATAGAGCCTTTTTGAAAATGGTTGTACATATAGCACCAAATATGGTTCTTCTGTTGTTACAAGCTTGATGTCATAACAATAGCAGTGCACTTTTTGTACTATGTAGAATCATATACAACATGTTCTCCATCAATCTGAATAACATTTCATGATGCAAAAAACATTCACGCATGAAATGGTTCTATATAGAATGCATGGTTCTAAATAGAACCATTGCCTTTACTAAAGAACCCACAAAGAACCATCTTTTTAAAAGTGTATGTGAAAGTGCTACTTACTGCAGTAAAGTTGTCAGTCAGAGAGGAAATCTGTCATATTACTGTACTATTGACACTAAAGTAGTTTACATGTTTATCTCAGTCATTTATGTGATCCAGCCTTCCTGTGACACTTATCCATAACCTCATGGAAACATTTGCCAATTTTGCTGAGAATAAACAGTTTTTCCATCACATGAAACAATTTAGAATCTCCTAAGAGTCCATTTTAAAAAGGGGGAACAAAAATCAAACAGAATCTAAAAGTCTACAACTCTAAAAGACTGCTGCAATTTCTTGAGTGTGTGTAAAATTTTTAACAGTCTAATAACCGATTTTTCTATAGAAGGTTTTGTGTAAAACATACATAAAACATAAAGAAAAAAGCTGTACGGTTTGCCAAACCCAAACAACAAAACAAGAACACAACAGACGCGAGGAATAAAAGGCCGCTTCTGTTTAAAGCTTCCACTGACTCCACTCTCGCGGTGAATGAAGAACAGCGTCCAGATGTGAAAACAGCTCCTCACCTTCATCATCAGAGCAGCTGCTGATCAGAGCGCATCTTCTTCTTCGCTTTATTGAGATTGGAGCACAGTTACAGAATTAGCGCCCCCACCCGGACTGCTGGGGAAACCACACTGGAATCCCTTACACTTTGATTGGCTTGTCCTTCACACGAGCAGTCGCTGTGTATGAATTACAAACGTTTTCAAGGTGGAAAATCATAAATGCACAAAAGCAAAGCCAAAATGTTTTGATTTATCGTAGAAGAACCTAATAAAATGTATAATAAAGTGTATGATATTAAAAATATTTTTCCAAGGCCCACGCTGCGGGTCTCGCGCTGGTCTGGTGTGCGTTTAGCTCGTCACCCAGCACGGTCATGCTAGTTGACCAGCATATTGCTGCTGTAGAAACAAAATCTTGCATCTCCAGATGATGGCTTTACAGGGAAAAACAAAAACTTTCTTTACTTTCAATGTAAGTCAATGTAACCAGACTTTTTTCCTCCAAGTAATTTTGGGCCGTTTCTTTTGCTCTATTCATCATAAAATTTTACTTAATGTAAAGGGCAGCAGGCATTTTCAAACGATGTCAAAAACTGAAAAACAACAAAAATGGAGAAACAAGGTTTTATTCTGACAGCAGCAATATGCAGGTTTTGCTGGTGACCAGCCCTACTGGTGTATGGTTTTTCTAGTTGGACAACTGCACAAAACACCTTAAATTTGAACACTAAGGGAGGGTTTTCCCTTGTCCATGTACATTTCTTAAGGGTGTTGCATAAAATTCTTTTAGCAAAGAGAGGGCTTACTATACTCTGTTGAAAAAATACAGCACAGAAAACCAGTCTAAGTTGGTCTAGAGCTGCTCTGGTGCTTGTCATGTGAAAACATATGCTGGATTTGCTGGTGACCAGTCAGTCTTTTTAAACTAAAAGTACACGTCACAGGATGTTTGATTAAGTACTGCTTATTTTAGCACTCTCGTCCATGTGTCTTGTATTTAAACTGTGCTGCTGGATAAGTAAAAAATAAGATTAATTTGGGCTGGAAGTTCAGGTAACTTTGTTTGTCATGGGGGGAGTGGAGGAAATGGTCGGCACACAAACCACAGAAAATTACATTATCTTTTGAATACATTCATAATTTTTCTTAAACAGTGATTGAGGATGTGTCTGATTAAATAAACCATGAAACCAATTAAAAAGACCATTGAGTGTTAATCAGATGATGTACAAATAAACTGTGTTTGTTTTACAGGCCAGGTATGTATAAGAATTTGAGCCAGCCTGGAATCCATGCTTGTTAGATTTTATAGAATAGAATGATAGAATGTGTTGTATATGTTTCTATACAGACCCTTTTTTAAAAAGTACCAAAAGGGTTCTTCTTTTGTTACAAGCTTGACATTGTTACAACAGCAGAACCCTTTTTGGTGCTATACGGAACCACTGCTGTGTCTGATCCACTCACACCAGCGCAACACACACTAACACACCACCACCACCACCACCTCAGTATCAATGCAGTGCTGAGAATGACCCACCACCCAAATAATACCTGCTCTGTGGGGGTCCATTGGGGTCCTGACCATTGAAGAATGGAGTAACAAAGTATGCAGAAAAACAGATGGACTACAGTTTGTAACTGTAGACCCACAAAGTGAAACTATATGGTCAGTGGAGCTGATAAGTGGACATTGAGAGTAGATACAAGGAGGCGGTTTTAATGCTATGGCTGATCATAATATATTTAGCCAACAAAGCTTTAAATGTAAGCCAAGAAAAAAAAACAGCAAACAAAACTACTCCCTGGGGAAGCAATACTCAAAAAAAGATTAACAGGGAAGCTCCAACAGATCTCTCATCAAACACATTTGAACAAAGTACATAATCTTTCTACAAATTAGACAAAATGTGCTTAGAAGTTCTACTTCACTGATACAGCAAAAGCTATGACTGTGACTCCAGGACGGCTTCACAGACATAGTCAATTCTAGCACCTAGACACGATATCACTGGATGAGATGAGATCAACGGAGGTTCTTCTACGATGCCTCCAGCAGTCTTTCCCAGACTGATCCAAGATCTCTAATGCTCTTTAATAACTCACCACAGATCTCTTGGTGCCTTTATGTTTTACTATGCCTGAAGCTTCTCTCACAGTCTGAGCAGTGATATGGTTCCTCTCCGGTGTGAATGCGCTGGTGTATTCGGAGATAACCCAGTTGGGCAAAACTCCTCCCGCCCTTAGAGCATTGATACCGTTGCTTTCCTGGGTGAATGCCCTGGTGCTTCAGGAGCTGAGTGAAGCTCTTCCGACACTCAGAGCAGTAAAACAGCTTTTCTCCTGTATGAATGTGGCGGTGTGCATGGACATTACTAAATGAAGTAAAACTCTTCCCACACTCCGAGCAGTAATAGGATTTCCCTCCTGTGTGAATGCACTGGTGATCCTGGAGATAGCTCTTTTGACTGAAACTCTGATACAGATTCTTTCCTGTGTGGATGTGCTGGTGTGATTGAAGACTGCTCCGCTGAGAAAAGCTCTTCCCACAGTCTGAGCAGGTATAGGTTGAACATGAATGTTTGGCAGGAGAGGACAGCATTCATCTCTGGAGGAGAAAAAAAGAAACACATATATTGTAAAAAGTTTGAAATCAGTTCTGACAGCCAGTGTAGAGATCTTAATACTGGTGCAATATGCTGGCCTCTCTTTGTTCTGGTGAGCACGCTAAGCTGCTGCATTTTGAATAAGCTGTAGCTGTCTACTGTTGTTTTGTGGAGATCGATAAGCAGACTGTTGCAGTAGTCCAAACTACTCGAGATAGAAGCATGGACTAACTTCTCTAGGTCCTGTTTAGAGATGAACTTTCTAAATCATCATGTTTTTAAAACAATGAAAAAAATGATCTTGTTACTGCTTTAATGTGGCTGCTGAAATGAACTTCTGACCCAGACAGCATGCAGATCTGAGCCACTTCTGGCAGAGATAATGCAGTATGTTGGCCTATGTCTTTTTTTGGTAACTAAAAAGTTAGGTAGTCTAACACAATCCGCCTCAACAGTAGGAACGCTACAAAATATCCAAATATATGGTTTAATTAGGTTATATGGAGCCTACATAAGGACATGGTTAATTTTTCAATGGGTGACTTGTTTTTGACCTTGTGATTATTGTCTCAAGATGGAAATATATATTTAGATATATGTCAATGTTTTTAGCAGCATAACTATATTATGATGATGAGTTGAAACATATAGGGAAAAGAGTTCCCCACTCTGACCTCTAGATGGCACCAATACACCATTCAGGCAGTATTCCATAAACTTTTTCAGTTGTGTATCCTTGATTGGAACTATTGTAATGGAAACAAACTTCTGTACAGCACTTTGTTTTAACTCAACAGACGTTTTGGAGAAAGCATTACCCAAGCATAGCTGAGCTATGGATTTTATTCAAGAGCAGCTACAGCTTTCTGGACAGCCTAATGGTTAAAGGTGGATGCATGCAAAATGTTCAGAGAACAACCCATGTATCAAAAAATAACACGTCCGGATAATAGACTCAAGAAGCGCTTAGAACAGAACAGAACAGAACAGAAAAGAACTACTTTGTGAAAGTACAGAACAACATCTTTGTGATGTTAATACTCTTTGGCATCTGTATGAATGGCTGCATTGATGGCTACTCAAGAAAAATAATTTGGTTGAGTTAGGAGGAGGTGAGGGCGTGTTCGAGGGTCATCTGTGGGATTGAGAGCCAGTCATGGCGACCCGTCAGGCTGGGTAAGTTATGGTTTACACTTGCTTGTTGTCTCTGACAACAACCTACTGAGAGAAGACAGGAAGACAGGCTGCCAGAAGAAACAACACACAAGCGTAAACCACAACCTACTGAGTTCAACCTGCTGGTTCGCCATGACCGGCTGTCCGTCCTGCAGGTGGTGCTCCACAAATGCATACACACAAAAAAAAATGATGATCCTCTGCTATGTAGAGCAGTGCTTGCCAACCCTCTTTCTGGAGATCTACTTACCTGCAGTTTAGTTCCAAACTTCTTCTTACATGCTGCTCAATCCCTTGTGTAACACTAATGCCTCTCATCCAGACCTACACTCTCCAGGAAGGTTGGTGACCACTGATGTAGAGGCAGTAAAGGCAGTGAGGCAGCTTTTGGGTGAATTACCAAAGTCGATAGTGACACATGCTAGTCCTACCAGAAAGCACGCCAAAATGCTAGAGGCTGGGATAAAGTGAACAGCGCTCCTGGAATGGCATATCGCTGCCATCTAGAGTCCAGAGTGGGATAATACCTTTGTCTCCAGAATTTGTTTTTTCTCAAGAGAATTAACTCAAGAAATTTTTCTTGAGCTAACTCAATTAAAAAGAATTGTGGGTCATTTCCCAGGCAGCAGGTATTTTCTATCCCATTATAAACAAAACCTATGTCCTTTGTCCATGTCAGTGTTGAATGGTGGACTCCACAGGTTTAAAATGATTCATGGCTGACTTCAAATTTTGTGTTTATTGAGCTGTGAATAGTAAATTGACGTTTTGGTACTCAGTTTTGGAGAAAGTCATAGGCCCTTTTCACAAGAAATGGAAGTGTGTAAACGCTGGGTAAAACAAGTTCCGCTATTGCCTTACGGACAGTTACTACTACTCACTTCAGTTCACCACAGAAAGGTGTGTCTCTTTATTTTTGTCACAGTGGCGAAGATTGAAATTCGAGGATGTGTCCAGACTTGCTGAACAACATCAAACACACAACAATGTGGGAGTCCAAACAAAATAAAAGGTATAAAGCCTTCATGGAAAAATTTCTTCACAGCTATCTGAGTATGATAACGTCAGCTAACTTCTACAGAATGATAAATCGATGGATGGTGAAAAATAACTATGACCAAAACGCTAGATTAGCCACGTTAGCTGGAGATACTAAAACAGCTCGCTAGCTGTTCCCCCTGCAGTCCATGCGGGACGCTAATTGTATCAGTGTCTTTCCCCCTGCCCTCTAGGTGGGGGCACTCTACGATTTTTGCCCTAATGTGACTCAGATCTGATGTTTTCAGAGCTGTGTGGACACACAAATCCGATCTTTTCTAATCTGCGTTGAACCACTTTCATATGTGCTCCTAGATCAGATACGTATCCGATTCATAGCCGTGCGACCTTAATATGACGCTCAGCTCGGAATTCATGCGCTTTGTTCCACTGCGTCTGCGCCATCATTCAGCGTTACCATGGCAGCAGCACTGATCAGAGGTTAAAGCCTGTAAACGGTGGAAAAGCAACACATCTCACCTTTTTCGCTTTCGTCTCGTCCCAATAATGAAGCTGAGAGTTAATTATCTTCGAGATGAGGACTCGTTCTGCTCGTTAGTTTGTTTGCTGTTCATGATGCACCTGATTAATTCACGTGACGTTACTGATTAGGATGTGCACACGCAGGTCTGCAGTCCAGATGGGGGCGCTAATTATATCAGTGTGGTTCTCCTGCAGTCCAGGTGGGGGAGCTAATTGTATCAGTGAGCTTCTCCAACCCTAGTGGAACGGAGAAGCAGAAGCTCCGCTCTGGTCAGCAGTCCACGCCTCCGCGCTGCTACAGTGTTGTTGGAGGAGACGAACAGGAGCTGCTCTCATCGAGGTAGAACCTGATTAACTCTTTATCACAGTGTTTACAGTGTGTTCTTCACTGACTCTTGGAGAAATGAGAGGAGAAATGTTCAATTATGGTGAAGCAGTCTGTCTCCAGACTGATCTGTTGGCTGTTTTGATTTAAAATAATGAGGTTGGCAAACGTAAAGCATTTTGTTCATGCTTTATACTCAATTTACAGTAAAAGCTCCCTGTTTATTTATTGCAGTAATTCGTGCTCTCCTGTGTGTGTTTACATTATGAAGACAGTCTTCTGTCATGTTCCACTGTTCACAGAAACCCTTTCTGGCTCTAAAAGGCTGACAGGTGAGCAGAGATTACAGTTACTGCAGTTAACCTGATAAACAGTTGTGTGTTTCCCCTCTGACTGATTTAAATGGTGCACAAAAGCACAGAGAGATTTTAGCATAATATTGTTAATAACTTCGCTGATCATCTCTGTTCTAGTGTGCCCTATATTAAATATGGCAAAATATAGGTTTAAAATATGACATATCTGCATATGGATTTCTCTTATATACAACAATATTAGTCACATGTTAGTGACATTTCTGTGACATATATGCTGACTTGAAATTGTCCATTTTCAAATATGGGATATATATCTCAACCACATATCAACATATACAAACATATATGTGTAACACATATTTAACATAAACATCATTCATGTGTGGATGTTATACATTACTCATATGGTAGTTTCGTGCTCTGTAATATCAGGTTCCACGTGTCTTCTTTGTTTCTTCCACATAGGCTTCTTCCTAATGAAGTGAAAATTAGTATAACAGGTTAACAGCTGCATAAAACTCTACAAACATGCACACTGTAAGCTATGCAACAAAATCATTAAAACATGAAATAAATTAAAACACTGTTCCGTGACACATTTACATAATTTAATATTAATAAAAGCAAACAATTAACATAGAAATGATCATATCTGTGCCGGGCCCACTGTCCTCTTACTATTTGTGCAATGCTGACTTTGACACCAGAGCTTTAAAGAGTTGTCAGAAAAAGACTATTACCTAGCTACACTCATTTAAAAAGATGGTTTCTCAAGGGCTCTTTAGTAAAAGTAGTATAGAACCATGAACACACAGGAAACTGTGTTCCTGAATAATTCTTTTTGTGTTGAAATGGTTCTTTAGATTGATGGAGAATGTATTGTATATAGTTCTATATGGCACCAAAAAGGGTTTTTCTATTGTTACAATGTCAAGCTTAATAATGGAAGAACACTTTTGGTGCTATATAGAACCCTTTTCAAAAAAAGTTCTATATAGAACGATATACAACACATGCTCGATCAATCTGAAGGACCATTTCATGATGCAAAGAACCCTTTAATACCTAGATACATTACTGGTTTTTGATACATTACTCATTAAGTTACACTACTTATTACTGCCAAAAGTAGCGGAATTACAGTAACACATCACTTTGTAACTCATAACTTCAAACACTGCTTACTCAAATTTTCCTCAGAAGCCAGAGTGTAACTGTTGTACCATTTAGGGTGGAAGTGGACGTAGGCTAACCGATTATGTGAAAGACCCCTGAGGATGCCAACCTGGTGACTCCACTGTCTGACTAAAGCAGTGATCTCCAACCTTAGTCCTGGAGAGCTACCTTCCTTTGTCCTGCGCAACAGAGTTGTTGATGATTATTGCATTTAAGAGCATCATAGATTCAGAGAAACCAGTCCCAGTATCAAGTATTTTATTTAACCTAACATGCATATTGGGACACCCTTAGTTTGAACTTTTGAGACAAACAGCTTTGGGTCCAGAAAAAAATTCAAAACATAAACAGAAAATAGTTGCCCAAAGTAGGGACGTATTTTTGACGCATTTTATGATCAAATGAGGGAGTTCGTCAATAGAGCTGGCTTTCCTCTTCTTCCAGCAGCACGTCAGCGCTACATACTGTCAGGATGCCGAGCACCAGCGACCTGAGCAGTTAAACCCAAAATAATAGACCTATGACAAAGAAGCAGATATTAAGTAAGGTTTATCATTATTGTTGACTGTGATGACACTAATCCAAAAGCCAACTTGTGTGGTGTGAGGTTTATTTTAATGAGGCGCTAAAACCTTCAAAACTAAAGAGACATCTTGAGACCAAACAGTTACTCCTGTAAGGAAAAAAAAACATGAAAAAGGTTGACTTTAGTTCTGTGGGACGCTATGCTTTATAATTATAAACAGGTGGGCCTTGGCGTGGCAAAGTTTGAGAACCCCTGTCCTGGAGAAGCTGGACTAAGTTGTAAAGCCAACCAAGAAATCCGCTTTGTGAAATACCACCCAGGATGCCAACTTGGTGACTCCACTGTCTGACTAGATCAGTGATCTCCATCCCTGATCCTGGAGAGCTACATTCCTGCAGAGCTTAGTTCCAACCATAGTTTACCACACCTGCAACAAATCCCTGACTGGCTGAATCAGATGTACAGAGTTCAGTAAGGGGTGGGGCAGTTTATTAGATAGAGGTTATAGCTAAACTCTGCAGCTAGGTAGCTGTCCAGGACCAGGGATGGAGACAAGTGGACTAAAGTGTATTGAAGGAATCCTCAAAACAAGAAGGAACCACTAAATGTTTGTTTGTTTTTTTTTTTTCTTCAGAAAAGAATCGTCCTCTTCCAAGTCTTCTCCTGCTAAGGTGACCTACACAGTTTAAATTCATCATAAACACATCAGATGCCACCAAGAGGAAGACGTCACTGCTGAGACAAAGAAATAGAAGATGACGTCCAGAAAAAGCTCTAATACTCGGCAAATGGTGTCTGGTAGTCTCCACGTTAACATGGCTTGCAGAAGAATGCAAAAAAGTACAGTCAAAATGAGAACTAGCCACTGCTTAGAGTGTGGGAAGAATTTTAGAACCAGACGTATCTTGAAAATACACCAGCGCATCCACACAGGAGAGAAACCGCATGTCTGCTCAGAGTGTGGGAAGCGCTTTAAAGACACAGGTACCCTCAAAACACACCAGCGCATCCACACTGGGGAGAAACCGTACATCTGCTCAGAGTGTGGGAGGAGTTTTACTCAGCTTGGTAGTCTCCTATCACACCAGCGCATCCACACAGGAGAGAAGCCGTATCGCTGCTCAGAGTGCGGGAAAAGTTTTAATCGACAGACTCACCTCCAGTCACACCAGCGGGTTCACACCGGAGAGAAACCGTATTACTGCTCAGAGTGTGGGAAGGGTTTTAAAGACCGAGGTAACTTCAAAACACACCAGCGCATCCACACAGGAGAGAAACCGTATGTCTGCTCAGACTGTGGGAGGAGTTTTACAGCACAAAGTACTTTCCAAAAACACCAGCGCATCCACACAGAAGAGAAGCCATACGTCTGTTTAGAGTGCGGAAAGAGTTATAAAGATGGAGGTGCCCTGAAAACACACCAGCGCATTCACACAGGAGAGAAACCATATCACTGCTCGTACTGCGGACGGAGTTTTACCCGACAGAGTAACTTCATATCACACTACCGTCTTCACACAGAAGAAAAAATGTTCCACTGCTCTGAGTGCGGCAAGAGGTTTAGTCGACAGAGTAATCTCCAGACTCACCAGCGCATCCACACAGGAGAGAAACCATTTTACTGCTCAGACTGTGGGATGCGTTTTTCTCTACGAAATAGTCTCAAAAGACACCAGCGTATCCACACAGGAGAGAAGCCGTATGTCTGCTCAGACTGTGGGAAGAGTTTTACTCAGCACAGTGATCTCCAAAAACACCAGCACATTCACACAGGAGAGAAACCGTATCACTGCTCTCAGTGCGGGAAGAGCTTCACCCAGCAGAGTCATTTCCAAAGTCACAGGCGCATTCACACAGGAGAGAAACCATTTCACTGTTCGGACTGTGGGAAGAGTTTTTCTCTACGAAATAATCTCAGAAAACACCAGCGCGTCCACACGGGAGAGAAGCCATATGTCTGCTCAGAGTGCGGGAGGAGCTTTACTCAACACAGCAGTCTCCAAAAGCACCAGCGCACTCACACAGGCGAGAAACCATATCACTGCTCTCAGTGCGGGAAGAGTTTCACTCAACAGAGTCATCTCCGAAGTCACAAGCGTATTCACGCAAAAGAAAAGCTGTAGTACTTACTGCTCTTCATACATTGGGAAACTTAAAAAGTTGCATAAGTGCACCAAGAGGGAGATTTCAGGTTGTGATGTGTGAATTTGTCAAATCAAAGCATGTGTTTTGTAAATTTATTAAAAATAAAAGACTGTAATATCCCATTTACCTAAGAATGCAGACCCTTTGTTATGACACTTGCAATTGGGTTCTGGTGCGTCCTACGTCTGTCAGCGGTCCTTGAGATTCTTTTACAACTTGATTGGGGTCTATCTGTGCCAAATTGAATTCTTTGGACATAATTAGGAAAGGCACACACCTGTCTATATAAGATCTCATAAGCAGGTTTTCCATCCGCCAGTTTTTTGAGAATTTTGAAAATGTGCAAAAAAGAGCCTGAAGAGAAAAAGCTTAACATTCAAAAAAGTTTCAAAGCTCCGCATTCAAAAGTTTGAATTACACTAAAGCTGAAATGTGAATGAGTGATGTGAAAGGCTTTTTCAAATAAACGATGATGTATAAAGCTGTGAGAAATCTGCAGATGGTCCAATTGTGGCGCATAGCTTTTCAAAGGTTGCTTTCAAGATTCTGAAATGCCTAATCAAAGCACGTTTGAAAAATGGCTCTGCACAGCATGCTCCCAGAACTGTCTGGTGTATATGCGTTCCCAGATGCGGGGTGGATGTCATCGGGGTGGCATGGAGATTTCTGCCCTCATTAGGTGGCCATTGCTCTTCCTACCCAGCATTTCTGAGCTGCAAATAATCATAAAAAGATGGCAAATGACTGTAAAGATAATTCCACTTTAAGCAAAAACCCAGTTAAATCTCTCCGTCATGCTTGTTTCGATGCCCCTAACCACGGTAGCCTACATCATCTAAAGTTTCTTTGCATAACTATAGTGGATGGAAACCTGACCATAGTTGATGTCATATGTCAGAATGAAAAGCAAGCCGTTAGGTTGAGGGAATTGTCCGTAGACCTGCAAGACAAGATTGTGCCAAGGCACAGATCTGGGGAAGAGTACAAGAAAGTTTTTGCAGCATTGAAAGTGCCCAAGAGCACATTAGCTTCCATCATTCACAAATGGAAGTTTGGAACCACCCACAGTCTTCATAGATCTGGCCGACCAGCCAAACTGAGTGAACAGGGACAAAAGGCCTTGGACAGACAAGTAAGCAAGAACCCACTAGCCACTATGAATGAGATCCAGAGTTCCTTTGTGGAGATGTGTGAACCTTAGAGAAGGACAACCATTAATGCAGCGCTCCACCGATCAGGCCTTTACGGTAGAGTGGCCAGATGGAAGCCATTCCTTACTAAAAGGCACAAAGTAGCCCACTGGTTGCTTGACAAAAGGCACCTGAGTGACTTTCAGACTATGACAAATAAAATCCTCTAATCTTATAAAACGAAGATTGAACTATTTGGGGTGTTCGGAGGAAACCAGGCACTGAGCATCACCTCTTTTATACCATCCCTACAGTCAAACACAGTGGTGGCAGCATCATGCTGTGGGGATGTTTTTCTGCGACAGGGAGTGGGGACTAGGCAGGATAGAAGGAAAAATGGATGCGAAACATATAGAGCAATCCTGAGTGAAAACCTTTTCCAGAGTGTGCAGGATCTCAGGCTGGGGTGAAGGTTTACGTTTTAACAAGACAACAACCTGAAGCATACCACCAAGAAAATGCAGGAGTGCCTTCAGGAAAACTGTGGAAGTTCTACAGTGGTCCGGAGCTTTCTCTGGAGAGATCTGAAAATGGCTGTGCACCGATGCTGCCCATTCCCACCTGGTTGAGCTTGAATGATTCTGCCAGGAAGAATGCGAGAAACTTCCAAGAGACATTGCGTTGCAACCCATTGTAGTAGCTCAAGGAGTTACTTTGGTGGGGATCCTTGGACCTGACTTAAAATGACTGCAGCAGACATCACAATGTTGGACATAAGAGACTCACGAAAAAGTTAATCTTTGTTGATTGACCTTATCCAGTGGTATTGTTTCTCTCTGTGAACCTCTCATATACTCACCATCATAGCTTTGTTTCTGTAACAGTGGATTAGAAATTTTAAGCATATTTCTTTACTAATTTGAATAGAGGTATAACTACTTTGTCCACGTGTGCTCGGTGAGAAACCTGTGGTAGCATTCTTATTAATCATGTTTTGGTGGCTTGCATCCCCAGCATGTGTGTTTTGTTATGCCGTCTCTACTCTTGGCCTGTCTCAAAGAAAAGTTTTGTGCAATTGTTAGTATGCTCATGTGATTTACAATAAGTGTCCAAGTGTGTCCCATTTCTACAAAGGAGAGGAACATTAACATTACTAGAACTTCTTGTCCCACAGTGATTTGATACATCTCCACACACTTATTGAAGCCTTACTGAGTACTTGCATACTTAAATGTGCAAAGTCACAAACTAGAAGTGTCATTTCTGTTTCTCTTTCTTGACCTCTGATTCTTCCATCAGTGGATTTGATTGGGCTGGCTGAGTGAAAGCCTGCGGAAATGATGTGTTTATTGTCTGTGCCATGGAGTAAGTATTTCTGCAGGACCAGTGGCAATGTTTCCCCAAGGTATTCCTCATCTGTGGATCTGGAACAACAGTTGTTTTTTTGGCGATAGCCTACCTTGACATCCTTCCTACATTGAAGCTGTTGATGTAAAGAAAAGCAAATGTGAAACATCATGACCTGCAGTTTGAGTCTTGGCTCTTTGTCTCATTATTTTTATGTTGTGACCTCAGTGGAGTAAATAAGGTAGCTCACAAGTCGTAACACTGATTTGAAAGATATGTGATCGCATGATCCTTATCTTTTCTCTATTTGAAGACCGAGATATGGTCATCTGTGGTTCTATCTGGGTCCATCATTGTTTAAAGCAGTGGTCACCAACCCTGGTCCTGGAGAGCTACCTTCCTGCAGAATCTAGTTCCACCTACACTGTGTCACACCTGCTCAAGCTAATCAAAAATCAGAAGTCCTTGATTGACTGGATCAGATGCATCACTGTTAGGTGGGCAGGTTAGATGCAGGCTGCAACTAAACTGCAGGACAGTAGATCTCTGGGAAGAGGATTGATGACCACTGGTTTAAATTTAATTTAGGAAAATCACCACTACTTTGCTAACACCACAGCAGATAAAGTAATTTGAATGTGAACAGTTCAGCAATTCTGGTGTGGGTGAACAGGTCCTGTCTCATCATTTGATTAAAGGTTGATTTGTTTTCATCTTATGTTCTTAACATCCTTTTAATCTCACTTAAGTGTGCGCAATAATTATGGTTCGTTAGGACCAGGTACATTCATCACACCAAGATTGTGAAGTGCTTTTAATTGTCCTTCTGAAAGGTGTGATTTAGGATAGTGTTCAGCTTCTGGCTCACAGCAGGGAGGTCATGCTCTAAAACTGTTATAAAGAAGGGATGTGTTTTTTTTTATTGGTACTCTTAGAAGCACTGAGGCTACTGCACTCTCTGTACCAGCACACAACCTCCCGTTGAAACGAGGTGTTTGGACTTAAGGGCACATAGTAAAAAGAAACTCTTTTTCTCTTTGGCCAACTTTTTCTTTATACAAGAGCATCATCCCATCTGAAAGTTATCTTAAAACGCTTTAGCAGTCTTAAATTCCATTCTTAAGTAGTGTCTGGTGTAAAACACTTTAATTGTTGGTGGTCCAGCATTCTGTCTGCTTTACAAGAGTCCTAAAACTTTGTTGAACCAAAAATATCAGTTCTGAGGTCAGCATGGTTGGGGCTCTCTTGTGCTATGATTGTCATCTACACACTCAAAAATGATGGTTCTTCAAGGGTTCTTTAGTAAAGAAAATGGTTCTATATAGAACACTCAAAGAACCCTTTGCATGATTAAAGGGTGGAGGATAGGTGTAGCCCTTTGTATGACATTTATCAACATTTATAGCTGAATGTTTGGTTAGTTTTAACATTATATGTGTAAAAATTGTACTTTATGTCTCTAACTTTAGCCTACCAGCTCAACCTCAAAAAATATCAGTAACCCAAATGAACCCAGTGCTGGGTCAAATCACCTATTTTAGAGTATCTCCTAGATAACTTAAGCCCAGAGATAAGGACTGTCCCATAGGAATGTCCCTCAGCTCTTTTCCTATTGGACAAACTTGATTTTGTGCTTAAGTTATCTGGCTAAAGAAATTAGAAATCCTGCTTTGTAAAACACCCCCTGAAGACTCAACATTCAAAATTGTTATGACCCGGTCTATCATTAGGCTGTAACAGAGCTTGAGAGTGGGCTCTCTCCCCAGACCAAACACTGGACACTGTTGTAACTAAAACAATACAGTTTTATTGAAGTTGGTAACTGCCATAGGGGAAATGTAGCTTCGGGGACGAGCATTCAGGAAAATAATAAAACAAAACAACTAATGATTCCAAAGCTGACTAAATAAAATAAACAAAAGACAAAATTTTAAAACAACAGAAAAGGGATAATCAAACCAAATGGCACTCATCCCCTACTTCCCAAACATTCAAGGAGTGTTTCACAGACTCTAACAAAGTTTTCACAAAATTTAACAAAGGAAGCAAAGTGGAGTGGAGTGGAGAGTGCCAGGCTGGCCTGGACAGGTGTTCTTCCAGGTCATGTCTACTTTCGTAATGCCTCTTATATACAGGAGGGCACCCCAAGTGAATCTACTTGCACATAATACAACAACAAAAGGAACCCACAAAATGGCAGCAGACAGACATAAAGACAGGCTATTGCGACCAGAGGTCGTAACAGTATTACTAAGAAGGAAAGCTCCCACGGGTCTCTCACTAAGCACACTCAGTAACTCTATTCAAATCAGAAAAGTTAGGCTTATAATTACTAATTCACTGCTACCGAAAAAGCTATGATGGTGAATACAGGACTGGTTCACACACAGATTTTTACCTAGATGCAATTTCACTGAATAAGGTCAGTCAACAAAGACGTTTTTGGGTGTCACTGACACACATCCTGGTGACGTCTGCTGCGGTCATTCTCAGTCAGGTCCAAGACCTCAATGATCCTGAATAAACTCACCAAAATCACTTCATTCCAAATCCATGACCTTAGGCAGCATCGCCATGTCTCCCAGCAAAGTCTGGAGATGAAGGTGAACAAGTCTTCATCTACACACTAGAACCCTTCTTACGGAGTAATCACACTCTAAGCCCATTTTGTGGTGTTCAGAAAATAAGAGAATAACAAAGAAACGCACAGATTATACAGACATCATTCATGGTAACCCATGGGGTGTTTCACAAGAATTCTGTTTACCCAGATAACTTAAGCTCAAAGTTAAGCTTGTCCAACAGGAAGAAAGGTGAGGGACATTCCCATTGGACAATCCTCATCTTTAGGCTTAAGTTCTCTGGCTAACTGAGAAATCCATCTTAGTGGAATCCACTTGATCATAAAACTAATCATGAAAATTGTGTTCTGATTTGACAAATTCAACCCGTCACCCCTCTGGTGGTGCATTTATGCAGTTTTAAAGTATTACAGTGCCGAAAACTCTTCTCACAGTCTGAGCAGTAATACGGTTTCTCTCCGGTGTGAATGCGCTGGTGTATTTGGAGATTAGCCTGCTGGGCAAAACTCTTCCCACACTCAGAGCAGTGAAACGGCTTTTCTTCTGTGTGAACGCGCTTGTGTATTTGCAGAGTGCTCTGCTGAGTGAAACTCCTCCCACAGTCTGAGCAGTAATACGGCTTCTCTCCTGTGTGAAGGCGTCTGTGTTTTTGGAGATCACTGTGTTGGGTGAAGCTCTTTCCACACTCCAAGCAGTGAAATGGCTTCTCTCCAGTGTGGATGCGTTTGTGTTTTCGGAGGCTGCTGTTTACAGTAAAGCTCTTCCCACAGTCCGAGCAGTGATACGGCTTCTCTCCTGTGTGAATTCGTTTGTGTTTTTGGAGATCACTCTGCTGGGCAAAGCTCCTCCCACAGTCTGAGCAGTCAAACGGTTTCTCTCCTGTGTGGATGCGCTGGTGTGTTTTGAGTGTATCTCCGTTTCTGAAACTCTTCCCACACTCAGAGCAGTGGTGGGCTCTCTCCATGGCTGTACGTTTTTGCATCCTTTCAGGAGCTGTGTTACTGTGGAGACCACCAGGTGACGTTTGTAGGGTACTGGGGCTTGGTATGGACGCCATATTCTCCCACTTTATCTCTCCATTTCAGCAGTGTAACGTTCCTCTTGGTGGCATCTCCTGAGGTGTTTGTAAAGGTTAATTTAAACTGTGTGGGAAAGTTTAGCAGGAGAAGACAGAGAGCAGGACAGCATGCATTCCTGGAGAAGAAAAAAAACAAAAAACAATTATTCAGTGGTTCTGCCATGTTGTGGGGATCCCTACACTACACTTTAGTCAAACAGTGGTCAGTTACAATCTAATAAAGTTTTCTATTCGTGAGTTGTGATCTTTATCTGGATGTGAGGCAGTTCAGCCAAAGAGTTAGAACTGTTGGGTGGAGTGTGAAAGCTGTTTCGGTCAACACCCTGTGAGAAATTAATTTATAGAAAACTTAAAAATCAGCTAAGCAATAACTAACTGGTAGCCAGTGTAAGGATCCCAGGGTGATCCTAAGGTATTCCTGTATTCCTAATGTAATCCTAGTGTAATATGCTCAGCTCTCTTTGTTGTGGTGACTATCTAACTGCTGCATAGATGTTCAAGCTCTAAGCTTCTTTGTTGTATCTTGTCAAAAAATCTCATTAGCTGTCATTCTCTCTTCATCTGTGGTCGACCAGAAGGGTATGGGTTCCTTCCTTGAGCCTGGGTTCCTCTCGAGGTTTCTTTTTCTTACTTCTAGGGAGTTTTTCCTTGCCACTGTCACCTCTGGCTTGCTCATGGGGGCTTGGACCTGGATTTAGTTCCTTACGTCTATACATGGACTTATTTATTTTCTTTTTATTCTTTTGATTACCCTTCCATAAACTGTTTTCCTTATATAAACTGCTTTTCTGTAAAGCTGCTTTGAGACAACACTAGTTGTAAAAAGCACTATACGAATAAATGTTGTTGTTGTTGCATTTTGAATAGGCTGTAGCTTTTTAGTCTTTTTGTGGAAACCAGTTTGCAAAGTGCTGCGGTAATCCAACCTGCTGAGGATGAAGTCACAGACTAACTTCTCCAGGTCCTGTTTAGAAATGACACTTCCAAATGTGTTTGAGATTACGAAGAGCTAATTTTATTACTGCTTTAATGCAGCAGCTGAAATTAAGATCTGGATCTATTAGCATATGCAGATTCCTGACTAAGTTCTCATCAACACATATCTGGTTATTTTAGAAAAGTGTTTTAGTTTTTCCCTGTGTTTTAGCCTCCCACTGATATGAAAACAACATTTTCATTTTTTGAACATTCTCCAGGGAGGAGATTTTTTGTAGATTTTTAGTGCTTTAGTGTGGATGTGCAAAAATGCAACTTTTTGAAAATGGTGACATGTCAGCGTCAATTTGTGCATGTCTGTAGCTGTTTTTATTTACTATGTATAAACAATTTGGCTGAAATATGACTGACAACTGTGAGCTTTGCAATTTGTTTGGTAATGTGTTTCATGAAAAAAGTCAATTATTCAAATGAAAGCAAAATTCTTAACATTATTTTGGCTCTCATCGCATGCTTCACTCCACGGCTGCTCCCATAATCACTCTGCCCTTTCAAGACCAAAGCCAACAATTCACCATATTCCAATAATAAAATCTCACAAATTTTACTATAAACTGACGGAATGTCAACAATATGGCCCTGAGACGCTTTTTCCTATGCGAATATCTATTACACTGTTTAAGTGTTGAGTAAATGTGCAGTGTAAGTCCAGCCATACTTCAGTCCATGTGCACAAAGGTTATATGTGATTCACACACACTGATGTGTTTGTCGATATGTGTTAGACTATGTTTCTATTCTTTGGTGTCAGGCTGAATGCATTTCCTGCTGCTCTAGACAGCTAGTTCAATTCTCTCAACTGTCTGTGATTGGTCTTTATTTTCTAAAATAAAGGTCACTGTGCCCTTAAAACAGAGACTGAAAACTAGTTAGATCTTGTATGCAGGACAGTAATCAGGCTGGTCTGAGGGTAATGCGACCCAATAGTTAAAAAATACTAATACAAGAAAGACTGTAGAGAAAAAAAGGAAAAAATAAGAAAAAAGTAAAGAAAAAACACTAAATTCTTTTAAGTAATATCAGAAATACAGAAAAAAACAAGAAAACTTTTATTTTTATTTTGTTATTACTTGAAAAGTTCTGAAAGCATTTCATAAATATCTGTATTTCTTGCTAGAAATGAATGAATTCAGTTGACACAGGCTTTAAAAATGCCTTTTACAGCCTATATCTCCCTAAATTGGGGTTGCAAAAAATGCTGAACATTTCAGAAAAAAATACATAGTGTCTGATTTGACAGCCTGAGGTGGAAAATAACATTTTCGGGGCCAATTTGCAGGCATATCAAAAAGGCCACAAAAACTTTTCTTCTTCTTGAAAAAATTGTGAGCTCTGTTAGTTTGTAAATAGTGAAGAGTTTAAATAGTATAAATGGAATAAATATGTTGTTTACGAACGGATGTTGACTGTTCCAATATAGACACACAGACGTATCGCTGCAGCTGAGAACAACAGACAATGCAACATCTCTGTATATCAGGGGTGGGGAGCTCCAGTCCTGGAGGACAAGATTCCTGCAGAGTTTGGTGATTTTCCTGCTTAAGCACAGCTGATTCAACTCAGCAGTTAATTACCAGGTTTAGCTGGTGTGACAGAGCAGGGAAATCATCAAACTGTGCTGGTCACTGGCCCTCAGTTCCCCATGCCTGCTGTAGATCTATCTATATTAGTGGTCACCAACCCACCTCCTGGAGATCCACTTATCTGCAGAGTTTAGTTCCAATCTGCATCTAACATGCTGCCCCTCCCCTCATCTATTTCCAATGCATCTGATCCAGCCAATCAGGAACTGCTTAAGAAGTTAATTAGCCAGTGCAGGTGTGGTAGATTGTGGTTCAAACTACTGTCCACAGGAAGGCAGACCTCCAGGACCAGGGATCTATATAGATACAGACACATAGATGCTCTTATCGACCATCAAAGTGAGGAGCAGTTCATCTCCAACAAGCCCAAACTTTTCAAGCCATTCAGCGGCTACATGTGCAGCTGTGGTTAAATCAGTCTGAGGGGAAACAAACTGCTGTTTATCAGGTTAAATACTAGCAGCACCTGTAATCTCTGCTCACCTGTCAGCCTTTTAGACATAACACTGAGCCTTATTCTCCAATATCTTCCTGAGTTTGTTCTTAAATGTGTTCTGTGTAAAAGGTGTTCTGATTCCAGGTGCATTTGATGGGTTTCTAAGGGGATCCAAAGGTGTCCTACAGAAAACTAGTGATCTCTATTGGTAACCATTAAGCCAATTCACATTAGAAAGCAAAACCAACAGGTTTTAATCCTAAATGTTCTGATGGGTTTTTTCAGCAGTAATATTAACAAGGTTTTCGTGCAAATCATATATAAAGCATGAACAAAAAGCTCTTATCATTATGAAGGAACAGCCAACAGATCAGTCTGGAGAAAGGTTCTTCACCCTAAGAGAACACCTCTCCACTCAGTTCTCCTAGACTTAATGAAGAACATCATGAAAACAACGTAAACAAGAGGTAACAGTGCTCTACCTTCGTCAAAGCGGATCCTCTGCTTCTCCGCTTTATTGGGGTTGGAGAACATCAGCTGTAGAATTAGCGCCCCCACCTGGACTGCAGGGGAACCACATCGGAGACACGTGATCACTGAGCCTGGTGGTGCTGGTGGCTTGTTTTTTTATCCCACCCGTTTTCCGACAAAACCCTGCCTGCTGTGCTGCGATTGGCTGGTATTTCATAACAGCAGTCTGCTGATTGGTCAGTTGAGAAGTTGTGCATGGTTGCTTACGGATGTCAACACTTAAAAACGATGGTTTGCTCTTGTTTCGTTGTCAAGCTTGTAACAAAAAGAACCCTTTTTAGTGCTAGATAGAACCATTTTCAGAAAAGCTTCATACAGAACCATATACAACACATTCTCCACCAATCTGAAGAACCACTTTACCATGCACATGGTTCTAGATAGAACCTATTATAACTCTTTATAACAGGTTCTAAACACAACCACTGTCTTTACTAAAGAACCCTTGAAGAACCGTCTTTTGCAAGTGTGTACATGTAGCTGAAAATAGTGTATAGGATTTGTCACATAAAAGGCAATATTCCTCACAGAACTGCAAGTATAGGAAGATTTATATTAAAGACTGTAAATTCTTATTTACGATATGTTCTACATTTAAATACAGTTCTTTACGGTTCTTCTCATCCTGCAGTGTACCTCAGGGCCAGATACAGGATACAGCTACCGTTTATTTGTTATTTCGTGTAAGGGTTTTGGGCCATAAATAAGACAAACTGTCCAGAACTAATCAGACAAAAATCACTGGTTAAATGCATTACTGATTAAAAAACACACACACAAAAATAGTAGATTAAAGGAATATATTCAGTAAACAGTAATGGTCAATATGATGTCAGTTTATGATTGTATGAAATGTAGTGGTCAACACAGTAACCATGAAGGTTTATCATAGAAAGATTCTTGCATGACAAGTGCATATTTTTTGTAATATTATGTAAAAGTTATGTACAATTATACAGTTTCCACTGTTTTAAGTGTCTAACCTGTAGTCTTTTGACTCTTGTCTTCTCAATTCTGCTGATTGCAGTAAAGTACATCATTTGTTACATACCAACTACTGTAATTTAAACATGCAACTGATATAATCCCATATAGGTATATATGTCTAATAAACATACAACCAGAAAAACATACATATCACATAATCATAGGATATTTACACTGCAGACACACACACTGATCAGCCCCTTCATTAAGTTCACCTCGTTTCTACACTCATTGTCCACTTTATCAGCTCCACTGACCATATAGTTGCACTCTGTAGTTCTACAGTTACAGACTGTAGTCCATCTGTTTCTCTGATACTTTGTTAACCTGTTCTTCAGTGGTCAGGACCCCCACAGAGCAGGTACTATTTGGGTGGTGGGTCATTCTCAGCACTGTTGTGACACTGATGTGGTGGTGGTGTGTTAGTGTGTGTTGCGCTGGTCTGAGTGGATCAGACACAGCAGTGCTGCTGGAGTTTTTAAACACCTCAGTGTCGCTGCTGGACCGAGAACCAAAAACATCCAGCCAACAGAGTCCTGTGGGCAGCATCCTGTTGCCACTGATGAAGGACTAGAGGATGACCAACACAAACTGTGCAGAAGCAAATGAGTCTGACTACATCTACAAGGTGGACCAACAAGGTGGGAGTGTCTAATAGAGTGGACAGTGAGTGGACACAGTGTTTAAAACTCAAGCAGCACTGCTGTGTCTGATCCACTCACACCAACGAAACACATTTTAACACATCACCACCACCACGTCAGTGTTACTGCAGTGCTGAGAATGATCCACCACCCAAATAGTACCTGCTCTGTGAGGGCCCTGTGGGGGTCCTGACCACTGAAGAACAGGGTAAAACGGGGCTAACAAAGTATGCAGAGAAACAGATGGACTACAGTCTGTAACTGTACATCTACAAAGTGCTCCTATATGGTCAGTGGAGCTGATAAAATGGACAATGAGTGTAGATACAACGAGGTGGACTTAATGAAGCGGCTGATCATTAACGATAACCTAAACAGTGATCACAGAATCATATTTGATGATGACAAAGTCAGGTATTCTCAGCCATTACTTTACTCTTAGTGCATTTATGTATCTTTAAAGTATTCGAGTGCCTAAAGCTCCGCCCACAGTCTGCGCAGTAATAGGATTTCTCCCCTGTGTGGATGCGCTGGTGTGTTTGGAGATGAACTTGCTGATTAAAGCTCTTTCCACACTCAGAACAATGAAACGGTTTCTCTCCCGTGTGGATGTACTGGTGTTCTTGAAGACGACTCTGTCGAGTGAACCTCTTCCCACACTCTGAGCAGACATACGGCTTCTCTCCTGTGTGGACATACTGGTGTTTTTGGAGGTTGCTCTGCTGATTGAAGCTCTTCCCACACTCCGAGCACTGATACGGCTTCTCTCCTGTGTGTATGTAGCGGTGTGTTTTGAGAGTACCTCTGTCACTAAACCTCCGTCCACACTCTGAGCAACAATACGGCTTCTCTCCCGTGTGAACGCGCTGGTGCTGCAGGAGATGGCTGTGCTGAGTAAATCTCTTTTCGCAATTTAAGCAGTAATACGGTTTCTCTCCTGTGTGAATGCGCTGGTGATCTTGGAGATGGCTGTGCCGAGAGAAGCTCTTCCCGCACTCCGAGCAGTAATACGGTTTCTCTCCTGTGTGGACGCGCTGGTGATCCTGGAGATTACTCTGCTGAGTAAAACTCTTCCCACAGTCTAAGCAGCGATATGGTTTCTCTCCAGTGTGGATGCGCTGGTGTCTTTGGAGGTGACTCTGATGAGTAAAGCTCTTCCCACAGTCTGGACAGTGGTGGATTCTCTCCTTGACTGCATTTTGCTTTGTGCATCTGAGAGATTTGTAACTGTAGAGCGAGCTAGAGGAGGTTTGCTCAGGACTTCTTCCGGATTCCATATTTTCACATTTAATTTCACCTCATCTCACCAGTTTGATACATTACTCTGGTGTCTACCGATGTGCTTGTGGCATTGAACTGTGTAGCAAGGTGGACACCAGGAACAGGAGAAGACTTTTAATTGGACAGCAGTCATTTCTGGAAGAAAGAAAACAAAGCAATCTGTTTCATTCTTTTCTACCCTTATTTGCGTATTCATGTTTTGGTTTATGCATCTCTATACCCCCAATCATCATACACAGGTGGTTAACAAATTAAAGTAAAAACAAATGTAAAGTAAAAACAAACATGAAGTTGTTTCACCACTACTCACCAGATGCCTTTGCAAAAATTGTACAGGTCACTGAAAAAATGGATCACTATGGATCATGGGATATCACTGTCCTGTTTTAATGATGGTGGTGGAGAGCACTAAGACACAGACCTTGTTCAGACTGCGAACCCCAAAATCTGATTTTTGTCATATCAATCAAGATACAATCTGGATTTTTGATAGTCTGGACAGCAAGAAACCACATGGAATCTGATTTCTGCAAATTGGATCCAAACCATTTGAAGGTGGTTTGAAATGCGACTCCAATCGGACTTTTACTAATGCATGTCACTCTGGACGCTGTGGACATTCAAATCAGATTTCAAAGCATCTTTTGCATCACTCACAGCACGACAAACAACTCAATCAAGTCAAATCAAGAGTGACGGAAGTGCTGGGATTCAAGAAGAGCTCCAAAGACTCGTGATTATGAAGAGAATTCTGAAGAGTCTGGCGGGTGAGATGATGCTCCTTCATCTCTCCTGCATCTGCATTTGAAATGTGCATCACTACAAAGTCACTGACATCTGTTGTTACCACGGCAACCCATGCAGATGGTGATGTCTGGACAAAGAAATTCGATCTGATCACTCACAGATAACAGAGCGGACAGTCACCTCAAAAGATCCGATTTGAGAAACTTGCCTGCTGTCTGAACACAGCGTTAGAGCTGAATGATTTGGGCAAAATACACTGCTCAAAAAAATTGATGTTATACTGTGTGATTGTGTTTCCTACAGTCACACATTATAACATCAAGTCATTTAAACTTCAAGCATATCAATCTGTCCAATTTCACCTGCTTTGGTGCAAATGAAGATGACAACAGGTGCACTGGAGAGGCAACAGCAAGACAACCCCCAAAAGGGAAGGGTTTTGCAGGTGGTGGCCACAGACTGTTACTCTCTCCTTATCCATCCTGACTGACTCTTTTCTAGTTTTGCATTTCACTAGTGTCCTTGTCACTACTGCCAGCATGAGACGGTACCTGCAGCCCTTTCAGGTTGCACAGGTAGTCCAGCTACTCCAGGATGGCATCTCCATGCGTGTTGTTGCAAGAAGGTTTGCTGTGTCTCCTAGCACAGTCTCAAGAGCATGGAGGAGATGCCAGGACATAGGCCATTAGAGGAGGAGAGCTGGACAGGGCTGTAGAAGGGCATCACTCCAGCAGCAGGACTGGTATCTGCTCCTTTGTGCGAGTAGGAACAGGAGGAGCACTGCCAGAGCCCTACAAAATGACCTCCAGCAGGCTACTGGTGTGCATGTTTCTGACCAGACTGTCAGAATCCATGAGGGAGGCATGAGGGCCTGATGTCCTCTAGTGGGACCTGTGCGCACAGCCCAGCAATGTGCAGCTCGATTTGCATTCACCAACACCACAATTGGCAGATCTGCCACTGGTGCCCTGTTTTCTTCACAGATAAGAGCAGATTCACACTGAGCACATGTGACAGATGTAAAAGAGTCTGGAGATGCCATGGTGAATGTTATGTGGCCTGCAGCATCATCCAGCATGACCAGTTTTGTGGTGTGTCAGTGATGGTCTAAGGAGGCATATTTTTGGAGGGTTGCACAAACCTCCAGGTGATGGCCAGTGGTACCCTAACTGCTGTTGAGTACCGGGATGAAATCCTAAGAGCCACTGTCAGACCTTATGCTGGTGCAATGGGCCCTGGGTTCCTCTTGGTGCAGGACAATGCCCGGCCTCATGTGGCCAGAGTGTGTAGGCATGACAAAGGCATTGATTCCTTTGACTGGCCCCCATGCTGCCCAGACCTGAATCCAATTGAAAACCTCTGGGACACTATGCATCAGTGCAACTGATGCCGCCAAGTCCAGGAGCTCATTGATGCCCTGATGCAGGTCTGGGAGGAGATCCCCCAGGACACCATCCACCGTCTCATCAGGAGCATGCCCAGACATGGGGGCCAGACACACTACTGAGCCACATTGTGTTGCCGTGATGAAATTGACGCAAATTGGATCAGCCTGCGACTTCATTTTTTTACTTTGATTTGCAGTGTGATTTTGAGTCTGGCCCTCAGTGGGCTGATTATTTTGGTTTCTACTGACTGCCATTACGTCATTTTGTTCTCAACGAATTATACAATTTATATCAGTAAAGACTGTCAACTTGAATCTTTTGTTCATCGAGATCAGATGTGTGATTTATGTGTTCCCTTAATTTTTTTGAGCAGTGTAATTGCGATCTTTCTGACCAATATTGCAATTGTGAAATTCCACTTATGACACAAATGGATTTGTTACCAGGATTGGTTAGAGAAGGGAATATGGGCTACAGCACGCTTACTACATGATGAAGGTAATTTCTTAATTTGAGGAGCTCTGCCGTAAGTACAGCCTCAACCAAAAACATTACAGTTCAGTGCTGAAGAGCATCCTAATCAGATGTTGAGGATGGTTAGATGCAGCTCAGACCTGCCAAACTCATTACCTTCTCTTTTAGTCAGTGATATTAATTCTAAAAAAATCAAGTCTAATAAGTTTATTTGTAATTTTATTGATAATTTATTCGTAATTGTATTGATATGGTATGTTATCCCTTACCATAAAACAGTAACTGTATCTCCCCCATTTACCTGTGTGATGTAACTAAAGTTATTTAAAATTTCCTGTGCCTAACGTAAAGGAGGTTCTTTATAAAACTCTGAACAGGATCCCTTCCAGTGAATTTGAGACTACGATTTCAATCAATCAATCAATCAATCAACTGACTGTTTTTTACACTCAAAGTACACTGAGGGAGACCCTCATATACAGTGTAGCTGAGCCAATACAGAAACAGGGATTGAAAAAATTCATTTTAAAAACAAATCAAATGCTAAAAATTTTAAAAACATATCAAATGCTATTACTACTAATAATCATAGTAGTAAATTTAATGACTATTAATAGACTATTTAATAACCTATTAATATTGCAAAAATATAATAATAAATCAAATAAGGATAAAATAAATAAAAACGTCCAAATAACAAATAATGAAATAAAAGATGTAAAACAATAACTTGACAGTAGCTAAGAATTAAAAGTTGATAATAAAATAAAAAGAATAATAAAAGTAAAACAACAGTAGATAAAACATACCATGTGAAACAGTGTCAGGCTGAGTGGAGGTGGTTAGAGAGTAAAAGTTTAAAATGTTCAAGTAATTTGATTTTGACCATAATACTTGTCTTCTGCCAGATAGATTTGTTTCTTACATCATTTTTTAGTCAGACATGTTGGAGAAAATTGCATGAGTGGTTTTAAAAGAGTTAACAAAATAAATAGTCGCTGTCTGAAGAAAAACAAAATAGAAGCTTTGTAGAAAAGGGCAAAAAAGTTATTTATTTTTATCATAAGTTATTGTAAAGAGATTTTATTGCAAGCAATGGAGCATTTCTACTCAATTCCATTGGAAGAATAAAAATAAAAAATGGGAGATATTTGGTTTTGTTTTTCCTTGTTTTTTTTCCTTGTTTTTTTGTCTTGTTTTTCCTCACTGTTTATATGTAATAATTGTCTCTCTTGCACAATGTTGTCATAGTGGTTTATTAGACCTGTTTAATCTGTGGGGTGTGAACCACCTAATCAACAATTCAGTCCAGAAAGACAAAGCAGCTTTGAACAACATCACAAAGACAGACTTCACCTGGCTGAGAAACCTGTAAGATAAAAATCTCTAAGATCTGGAAATTTAGTCTAAAAACAGAATGTCTCTTTAAATCTGCACTAGACCATAATAAACATGTATCTGTTTATTTTGAGAATAAATTACAGCTAAATCATATATTAAATGCTCTACTTCTGACAAACTTAACCAGCACAACATTATTACAAACAGAAACACATCTCTTCAGCACCTCTGCTGAAAAAGGCCACAGAAACCAGTAAGTGTTCCTGCTGGTCTTGTACTATGTTGTGACTTTCCTGATGGGCTGATATCAGGTGTGGTTTAACAGGTGACCTGTGACTGATTCCAGACACTCTGGATGGTTAAGACTAGTAGTTTATTATGATCCAGTTTTCATTAAAAGGTCTTTTTTTCAGCAGGAATATCTTTAAAGCTCTAAAACAGTCCCTACCTTCACCACGAGGAGCTCCTGCTTCTCTCCACACAGACCTCCATTCATCCGTTCTGCATCTCCAACATCAACAACGCTGTACAAGAGCTCTGATCTTCTGCTTCTCCGCTTTACTCGGGTTGGAGAACCTCACTGATACAATTAGCGCCCCCACCTGGACTGCAGGGGAACCACACTGGAAACGCTTGATTACTGAACTACAGTATTGCACTCGTGTGCCCATTCTGCCTCCTGCGATACGATTGGGCAGATCTGCCTGTTGATTGATCAGAAGTCGTTTGCATCACCGCAGTAACACCACAGCAGTTAGTTGCTTTTAAGTAGAGATTTGAGGGTACGCACCTAAAAAAGATGGTTCTGAGATCTGTGTAGAAATATTTGCATACTCAAATGGTTCTTTGCATGGTGAAAGGGTTCTTAAGACCGATGGATAATGAGTTGTATATGGTTCTATACAGGACTTTTTGTAAAGGGTTCAATATAGCACCAAAAAAGGGTTCCTCCTATTGTTACAATGTCAGACTTGCAATAGAAAAACCCTTTTGGTGCCATTCAGAACCTTTTTGCAAAAGGTCCTATATAGAACCATATTGAACAATTCTCCATTAGTCTGAAGAAACTTTTCACCATGCAAAGTACAATATAAGCATATAAAGAACCCTTTAATCACACACTCATGAATGTTATATATAGAACCATTGTCTTTGCTAAAGAACCCTTGAAGAACCATCTTTTTTAAAAGTGTACAGACTTAAAATAACAACATGCAAATTTAGACTGTTGTATTTAAATTCAAATCTCTAATGGCATTAATTTAACTCCATAGGCTGCTGTTACACAGATGCAGTGAGTGATATGCTGGATGAAAGCACATGAGCCAAGAACAGTTTATGAATGATCTCACAGGAAGTTTTCTAAGGTTTTCCTGGCTAAATACAGCATGTGCTCCTGTGAAGAAATTAACACTGAGAACTCTGAGTAGCTTGGATTGACAATTAATTAAGACATCATTTACTAAAATAAGTTGATGGAAGTTACTGGCAATTCTGGCCATGATGAGGACAAACAGAATTACTGTAAATTAAAAAACAATGCATTCATTGTTTTAAAAATAAACTATTTTCTTCTTATTATTAAGTGCTATCAAGTCAGTTCTGACTCCTGGTGACCATATGACCGTGTTTCTCCAGAATGTCCTGTCTTCTGTTTGGGTCTTCAGGCTTCTGAATGTCTGCTTCATGTTTCCTCTGATTGTCTCCATCCATCTTGTTGCTGGTTGTACTCTTACTTCTTTTATCTTCCACTCCTCCAAGCATAACTGTCTTTTTCAAGAAACTGGTTCTTCTATAATAAGAAATGTGTGTATTATTTGCCATATTTTGTGTTGGTAGTGTAGCAGCGTGTGCTGAAACATGCCTTCTATAGCGTGACTGGGGCTTACATGATGATAGACTCATCATGTAATCATCATTGGCAGAACCAAGTCATTCTTAAATAAACACAGAATAATAAGTAATTAAATAAAAATTAAATAGAAAACTGTAATCAGAGATCCTCAACACTCCAAACACAGAACACAAGAAATGAGTCTACAATGCTACACACACAGACCTGGACAGAGCAGTTACTCCTTTATGCACATTAGACAAAATATGCTTACAATGGTTACAGTAAATGCTACGACAGTGACTACAGGACATACAGACTAAGTCTTACACCTACATACAGTATCACAAGATCAGATCAACCAACAATAATGAAAGTCATGTGGATCTCTGATGTCCATCCTGGTGAGGTCTCCAGCAGTCATTCTCCATCAGGTCCAAGACCTTCAGTGATACTTCCATGACCCTGGGAAGCATGTCTCACACACTCCTAACAAACATGGCTCTTCAAGGGTTCTTTAGTATGGGGAATGGTTTACTTAGAACCATGAGTTCTATACAGAACCATCTGCATGCTTAAATGGTTCTTCAAATTGATGGAGAATGTGTTCTATATGGTGCTTTATAGAACCTTTTTGAAAAGGGTTCTGCTACTGTTAGCATGTCCAGCTTGTAACAACAGCAGAACCCTTTTTGGTGCTATACTGAACCATACACAGCACATTCTCCATCAATCTGCAAAATCATTTCACCAGGCAAAGAACCAGTTAAGCATGCAAAACTTCTATGAGTGTTCATGGTTCTAAATATAAGTAAGTCACAATCTCGGTTATAGGAAGCCTCTTCAGGAATAATCGCTCTCTCAGCACGTTCAGAAAATAGGAAAAAAGAAACACATTCAGAGCCACACAGGCTAGAGAAAAGCTGAATAAGCTGCGGATGCACATACATTAAAGTAAGGGCCAAGATAATTATGATAATTTATTATGATATAGAATGTAGTGGTTAACAAAGTGACCAGGAAAGATCACAAAAAGAGCACCACATACGTACAAGTAAATATTTATGGGATATAAATATCACTCCTTTCATGCGTATTATCATCCTTAGTGTTCTGAACCTTAGATTGTAGTACATAAACATCTTTTGTGTACTCTCATAAAACCAAAACAAAGCAAAGCTGGATATTATAACATGTAAGCACATACGCATAATAAGCACACAACCACAAAGACACACATATCATATAAAAGAAAGACAGGAGCTCTTTTTCCAACAGTATTAACTACATCCTTCAGTAGAAGCTATTAAAAAGAGAATTCCACTGATTTTTCAAAATTTCTGCATAATTAAATGGTTAAGATGTAAACAGAGTGGTTCAGAGTGGTTTGGTGTGAAATGCTCCATTCTAGAGAAACTTATTGAGTCAGAACTGTTCACAGTGGTTGTGATAGGAACCAGACGTCCACCTCTAAAACCTCCCCTCCAGAAAGTTACTACATGAAATGGTTATGAATTCACTGCCTGATAGTTTTGAGAACTTAAACTCCATTCATGGTGGAGGGATACATGCAGGGTGCTGTGAGGCAAAATAGTCCCCAAAGAAAACTTATTATTTCAGATTTTCCACTATTTTCCATCATCAACATTCCATATGAACTCAGAAGACTCGTGTAGGTTCACTGGTGGTTCTGGATAGTAAATAAAATGTCTATATTTGTGTTGTAGTCATGGCGACCCCTGGTTCCTATCACCACCACTGTAAAGACATCTGAACCATTTCACACCAAACTACTCTGAATCACTCTGTTTACATCTCCACCACTGAATTAGTGGAATTCCCTTAAAAATTACAAACATATTCATGGTAACCTGAATACCATAAAGTCATGTTTGACAAACTTGCGCATCAACAGCAATCAACTCCCTGTTAACGCATTTATGCACCTTTAAAGTATTGGAATGCCTGAAGCTCCGCCCACAGTCTGCGCAGTAATACGGTTTCTCTCCTGTGTGGATGCGCTGGTGTTTTTTGAGACTCCCTCCATCACTGAAGCTCTTCTCACACTCGGGGCAGTCGTACGGCTTCTCTCCGGTGTGAATGCGCTGGTGCTTTTTGAGATTACACCTGTTTCTGAAGCTCTTCTCGCAGTACAAGCAGTCAAACGGCTTCTCTCCCGTGTGGAGGCGCTGGTGTGTTTTCAGAGTGCCTCCATCGCTGAACCTCTTCCCACAGACCGAGCAGTGATACGGCTTCTCTCCGGTGTGGATGCGCTGGTGTTTCTGGAGATGATCCTGCGCGGTAAAGCGCTTCCCGCACTCTGAGCAGCAGTATGGCTTCTCTCCGGTGTGAAGGCGGCGGTGTAACTGGAGACTGTTCTGCGCACTAAAACTCCGCCCACACTCTGGGCAGTAATATGGTTTCTCCCCTGTGTGAACGCGCAGATGTGTTTGGAGATGGTTCTGCTGGTTAAAGCTCTTCCCGCACTCCAGGCAGTGATACGGTTTTTCTCCAGTGTGGACGCGTAGGTGCTTCTGGAGATTGTCCTGTTGAATGAAACGCTTTCCACACTCCAAGCAAAAGTACGGTTTCTCTCCTGTGTGGATGCGCTGGTGTCTCCTGAGGGTCCCAACATCTCTGAAGCTCTTCCCACATTCCGAACAGCGATGCGGCTTCTCGCCTGTGTGAATGCGTTGGTGTATTTTCAGATGACATCGTTGAGTAAAACCTTTCCCACACTCCAGGCAGTGGTGCGATTTTTCCTTCACAGCAATTTTTGGTGTTGGTCTGTACGATATGTCAGTGTGGAGGGAACCGGAGAACGTTTGCTCAACAGTGGAGCCACTTCCAGACGCCATATTCTCACAATCAGTCTCTGATCCAATGTGACTGTAGGGTTAAGTCAAACTGTGTAGGGAAGAGGACACCAGGAGGAGGCTTGCAACAGAACTGCCTTCATTTCTGGAACAGAAAAAGAAAAAAACATTCAAAACTCACTTTGAAACTCCACAACTGTATGATCTTTGGGATCACAGGGGATACAATCACTGGGTACTGAACCTAGAGCTGTGCTATATTTCTCTGAGCGTAAAGTGGATATCGTCAGGACTTAAAAACACTTTACAACTGCGTATTTGATTATAAAGAGCATCATTAGTCCTGTTTAACTGGATGTAGTGCAGCACAGTGTGTGAAATGTTGAACAGTAATTGGATTCAATTGGAATCACCTATCAGAGAACAGAAAAAATATATATCATGACACTCTAGAGGGTAGTTCACCTGGTATACCAGTTGAAATTCCCTCCCCTCTCTTGTAGTGAGCTGCAGCCTGAGGTCAGTTAGTCCAGTTTACTGTCAAAGTAGTGACATCACACTGTAATGAGTTAATGGGGAAAATGAGGAAAATCCAGTCTCTTGGGGTTAGCTGTTACCCCAGGGGTGTCTTAACTTTTTTTCAAAGAGGGCTAGATCGTACCATGTCAAAATACTGAGGGCTGAAATATAAAAAATTAAGTTTCCAAAATATCAGTGCATAGAATCTGAGCTTTCTGTGAGCTACTGTGTTTTGTGTCACTGTATAAAAGATGCATGAAGCTTCTTTTGTTGTTTGTTTCAGAAATCACTTTATTAAAGGAGAAGAGCAGATCGAACAGCATAAACAGCCATTATTGCTCCACCTTGAAAGGTTAATATTTCCTGAGCTGCTCAATCTGCTCTCATAAGAAGTCGGTGCTGTGAGACTCGGAGCTGCAGCTGCTTTAGTTTCTCTCCTGAATTTTTACTGTAATGTTCTGCTGTTTCATGTCTGTTGATGTTAAATTCATTACAGTCTTTTGAAATATGAGGCTCTTGATGAACACTGTAATTTTACAGAGCTGCAGCCACCATCAGGTGAGAGGAAGAACTACAGCATACTGGCTGGTGGGCCACTAACAACACACTCTAAAACAAGCTACGGGACACTTAAAATCTGTCCATGGCAGGCTTTACAACGCCTCAGCTAAAACTGACTAAATTCCATCAGCGTCGGAATTTAAAGCTCGAGTGTGAGAGACGCACAAACGAGACAAACGTCTTTCAAACATAAAACTACATTCAGCAGCGTTTAGAGAGGGCGCTGTGGGCTTTACACACACTGACGCCTTCATCTCATTAGGGTCAGAAAGACATACTGACATCTCATTGTAATTTGATCATTTCTGTTTTTACTGTTTCACCCAATAGAAATATTTAAGATTTACTTGAATTGTTAAATATGGTTCTTATTAAAAGTGAAGGGACTTCCAGAATAATATGTCACTGTTAATCTACAAAAAGGTTCCTTAAGCATCTAAAATAGTTTAATTTGTAAAAATACATTGTGATATAAACTGAAATTGTCACTGCCCACTACTATTGTGACACATCAGGTATCGTAAAGAAATTCCCAAAGTATCATTATAATACATTCTGCCATATCGCCCAGCTCTAACTGTACCCAGTGCAGACAGTGTCAGGCAATTTTATGGAGGCAAAGCCTAGATTTGCTATGTTTTGCTAAAAAAAACGTGCAGGAAACTGTACTTTTATATTGAAAAATATATTTTTAAACACAGACTAATGTGCCAGCATCAATAACATCACAGATATCCTTCATAGTGAAGAATAATGAAAAACTGTCTATGCACATTTAGGGAAACTGGGACCTGCAAAGATTAAAGCTGCACGTTATATTTAAGATGCTTAAAAACAGATAAAAATCAAAATCAAAATAAAAGATTCATTATTAAATGCACAAAACACACAACAAACTTCGATTGTGATTTAGTTTCAGTGGTTCTCGGTTCCTGCTGTGACGGATCCCTGCACTCAGCAGTGTAAGTCAGATAATGAAAGCGGTAAAGTGGATAAAAGCTTTAAGTTTGCTGAGAGATTTAAAAGGCAGTTTTATAAAGGTTTAGCCTGAGTCATTAACAAACACGCCCAAATAATGTCAAAAACAGAGCAGTTAAATCTCAATGATCGTTTTTACTGCACTGCATGAAATAGTCTTTATTTTAACCCCTTTAATGGCCAGGACCCTCCAGCAGGCCCAAAGTTTAAGAATAGCTCAGCCAGTTTGCACTGAAGTCCCTGTAATTACTGAATAATAAGCCTTAGTATGTAATAAGACTGAGATTTTAAAAGGTTAAATTGATAATATTTCACATCCATCAGCATTTATATTATTAAAGGCATGTTTTATGATGAAATATATATGTGGTTTTAGATAAAGTATGATGTGCAAAAGATTTAAACTGTACATAAAAATGTTATAAAAAAAAAAAAATATATATATAATATAATATATAATATATATATATTATTATTATAAAATGCTATTTATTTATTTATTTATTCATTCATCCAAAATATAAAAACACAGTTAAAAAACATATTTTTTTCCTTTTTGGCAAAGAAATAAAAATGTGTGATTAAGAATGTGCCAACGTATGTTACCAGTGTCTCACACATATATCTGGATATATTCCTGCATGTTCTGTTATTGATTATAGCTGCACATCCAACCTGACATGATCTCTGTCAGCACTGTTTTTCAGATCTGCATTATCTCTATATGAAATCATAATGAAGCCCACAAAGACATGCAAATGAAGGATTTCATAACAATCACAAAGAAGGATCTGATCCACACAGAAAAACAGAATTACTCAAAAGCAGAGCAGCACTTTGAATCACTATCAGTCTGTACCATCAAGCTCCACTCAGAATCTGAATCATTAACAGGGTTTTAGGGTATATATCATTAATAAATAATAATAAGGCTCGTGAGTCCAGATCAACTGACAGGACACACACAAACACAGCAAACACCAAGAACAGCAAGACAGTCTTTGTCCTGTGAAGCTGCCTTTATATTGTCTGGCATCCTTTCTCCATTTCTCTAAGGTTCTACACCCCACTGAGAGCCATTAATCAGGTTCTACCTCGATGAGAGCAGCTCCTGTTCGTCTCCTCCAACAACACTGTAGCAGCGCGGAGGCGTGGACTGCTGACCAGAGCGGAGCTCCTGCTTCTCCGCTTTACTGGGGTTGGAGAAGCTCATTGATACAATTAGCGCCCCCACCTGGACTGCAGGGGAACCACACTGATACAGTTAGCGCCTCCAGCTGGACTGCAGGGGAACCACATACACGCTAGGATTGGCCAGTTAACTATACACCGACCAGCCACTTCATTAAGTCCACTTCCTTGTTTCTACACTCACTGTCCACTTTATCAGCTCCACTGACCATATAGTTTCACTCTGTAGTTCTAGTTAGACTGTACTCCAACTGTTTCTCTGCATACTTTGTTACCCTGTTCTTCAGTGGTCAGGACCCCCACAGAGCAGGTACCATTTGGGTGGTGGATCATTCTCAGCACTGCAGTGGCACTGACGTGGTGGTGCAAGTGGATCAGACACAGCAGTGCTGCTGGAGTTTTAAACACTGTGTCCACTCACTGTCCACTCTGTTAGACACTCCTACCTTGTCAGTCCACCTTGTGGTTGTAAAGTCAGAGATGATAGCTCATCTGCTGCTGCACAGTTTGTGTTGGTCATCCTCTAGACCTTCATCAGTGGTCACAGGACGCTGCCCACAGGACGCTGTTGGCTGAATGTTTTCGGTTCTCAGTCCAGCAGCGACACTGAGGTGTTTAACCACTTTGGATTCAGCCATGTGAGAACAATTCATACTGGACATAAAGACCAATATTTGGGTGGAAAAAACTCAATTTCATAACTGACATAGTGACTATATAGGGAGCAGTGAACCGTTTGAGACTCAGCCTTAGGATTTTCTGAGCTCTGATCTTATAGATGATTAATATTGACCATTAAGGGCTGTTTGTGTTCCCTTTCCAGCTCTTTACCTGCTTGATTTATGGTAAAGATGTTAAATATTAAAAGAAACTTGTTTCCATTAAATGGCTTTGTTTCACTCTGACCCCAATGGAGTTATTTGCGTTTGCAAAAAAACTAAATTTTAAAAAAGTTTTAATTTGTATTTTGTTGCGTTGTTTTTACTTAATTAAAAACAACCCAACTGCAGTTTGATTCATATTACCTGTAATGCATGATAAAAAAAATATGATTTATGAAAATTCCTGGAAATGGAAGTATCTGTTTTTCCAAAAGAACTCTTCATATATCATCGCTGTCCAATGAAAAACATGCATCTCCAAGGTTTTAAATCTGGACTCAAAACCATCAGTACAAACCATTGTATTTTGGGCTTGGACCATTTTTTACCCAGGAGTGTACAGGTCAACACTGTTAAACAGGACAAACTAAATATCGCTGTTGTCGGAACAAAACCTCATATCTCCAAAATGGTAACTTTACGGGAGAAGGAATAAACATACTTTACTTTTAATGTAACTCAATGGAACCAGACTTTTTTCAAGTCATTCTGGGTCATTTCTTTTGGTCCATTCCTCGTGATATTTACACACAATGTAAAGACAAACAGGTATTTTCAAAATATGTCAAAAACTGAAAAACAACACAAATGGAGATACAAGGTTTTCTTCCGAGGGATAGTGTGAACAAGCCACCCACAGCTCTCTCCTCACTCTCTCAACAAAGACTTAAAAGAAAAAGCTGTAACATCTTCATGGTGCAAACAGACAAAATATACTTACAGTTTATAATTCATTGTTACAGTAAAAGTTAAGATGTCAAATTAAAAGTCACTTTATCTCAGTTCTATGATCATGTCACTGTATCCCAAGATAATTTGGAGGTGAGCATGAACAAGTCCTTCTCTCAATAAAAGAGAGCTTTTCAAGATAATCATCAAAACAAAGAGAGGAACATCACAAAGATACTACAAACATAAAATCTAAAGAGACACATTTTAAGCTTCAATTTACAGAACAGACGCATCTTCATTAGCATAAAGGCCAAAATAAGTTTACTATTACATGTGAAGCAGGGGTCAACACAGTGACCAGGAGGTGGGATGATTAAAGACTTGGCCTCATTCTCCAATATCCTCCTAAGTTTGTTCTTAAATGTGTTCTTGAGTAAGATCCTAAGAAAAAGTCTACGTCAGATTCATGACGTGTTCTTAAAGCGCAGAACTGTTCTCACCTTTGTGCTCTTGAGTGTGTAGATTCTGTTCCGACCAAAGAACAAATCCCACATAAGAGAACACTGGTGAGTCTGAATCTTCGTCAAAAAGTGGGTTTAAGAAGAAACTCCTTCTTAAGAATGGTTGGAGAATGAAGGCCAATCTTATTTTAGTACATATTTACAGTCTGTGCAAAAGTCTACAGTCGTCTATCTTGGCAATAAGTGTTTTTGTGCATGTAAAAATACATTAATGTATTATTAGAATAAGTGCAAATAAACATAAATACAATAAAAGGTAAGAAACTTTTGGAGCCCCTAAGTTGGGGTCCAGATGTCTCCTGGATGCTCCCAGCCATCACATAGATTTATTAAACTCCAACAGCAGCACCTGATTTAATTAAGCACTGACGAGCCAATGAGATATTCCACGAGGCCTTCATAAGGAGAAGCTTGGGGGTTAAACACCATTACATAAATATAACTACTTACATTATTAGTGTTACTTGTATTAACTCCACTATTAGTGTTTTTCTGTCAATTAAACAGCTTTTAAATCTCTGGCTTTACAACATGAAACTTTCATGCAACTTTAGTTGCTTGAAACTTACACAAAACTAAATTGCACTTCAGCTGCGTAATGTAAATCATCCTGCAACTCACTTGAATGTTGCAAGTGTCTCCACTTTGTTAAACAAGTCTCATGAAACAGCCAATCAAAACGGCAATAAGACATGTGACCACACTAAACGACACAACGAAGATGATTAAACAGAGGATGGTTTGTTGAAAAGGAAATCATCCCGACTGACTCACGATTGGTAGTTTTTACTTTGTCAGTTGAGCCACGACAACAAACTGGAGTTTCACACAGCTAATATTTCTAATATTCCTGTAACCAGTTGTGTTAACTAGCCACATACAGCTAACACAGCTAACAGCTGTTTAAATAGATGCTGGTGCAGCATTTATTTGTCTTCTACATATCATTGCTGTCAGATAAAAACCTTGTATCTCCATTTTTGTCCATCGTTTTTTAAGTTTTTCATTTGTTCCTTTCTTGGTTCCTCCTAATTTTACACAGAGCTCAGATTCATTTGGGGGCCAAAGGATTAAAATTATTACAGGAGAGGAGACAGATTTGCTCTGCGATGAACCTGCTGTGCTTCTTAGGACAGAATCAGTGAGACATCAAGCAGGCTATAATGGGTTTTCAAAGGCTCAACATGAACACAACATAAATCTCACATATATAAAGACAAAGAAATACAGAAAAAAAAAAACAATGAAAGCTGGAAAAAATATATGTAGATGCTGCAAATATTTCACCTCATGGGTGACTTTACAGCTAGAACGATATGGTGTATCAAAAAATACAAGCTGCTAATTTGACTAATGCACTACAAATACCACCGATCATAAAACCCAAACAGAGAAGCTGCGACAGCGGTCTGAAACGTCAAGAATACACCAGATCAGAATTTAAACCTGCGGTCATTAAGGACAGTCACATATAGAAACACAATCATTACAGACAAAACAAACCACATTCAAAAGAAGAAATCAGGGGTCATATTAGAGAAGTTTCCTCTCTGACAGTTCAAGATAAGATTTATCACAAATTTCTATTACAGAAGCAAATCTGATCTTAATTTAGTAATTTTATCCTATCTTAGAGCATCTTATCTCCAGTTAGGAAATCTTAACCTACTCGATCAGAGTCAACAATCAGCTGTCATGTCTGTTTCCTAGCAACCAACCATAAACACACACAGCTGAAAAGTAAACACATACAAAATAATGCGAAAATGTGAGTCCCAGCTGCTGTTACTGATGTAAAAAAGGTCTAAACAGAACTAAAGTGTGATAAACTGTAAGTTGTGAATGCTGTGAGAGCGCCCCCTGCTGTTTATCAGAGCGTCACCGCTCCCCAGTTTCAATCTCCGTTTCCCAAACGCTTTAGCCGAGCGCGCTAACGTTACTCCTAATGAACAGACACACGTTCAGCTCCGTCTCCTCATTATTCACCACCATCACTGTAATATTTCATCATCAACATTAACACACGAAGGTGATCAGAGGGGCGGTGGAGATCGAGTCTGCAGCGTCTGAGATCTTTAAAACGCAGAGTTAGAAAAGAAAATCATCTCACAGTGAAAGCAGCGTTTTACAGTAGAAATAAATGGAGCTCATTATGCTGGTAGTGAACGATGCTGCTGACTCAGCTGCCTAAAAACCATAGAAACGGACCTTAAACAGAAGTGAGGACCCTGTTGGGGTTCATCCTAAAGTTAGGACAGGATTTAGGAGGTTCAGTCTAGTTAGGATGTTTGTGTGATGCTGTTTTCTTATCTGGAGTTAATGATGAGATTATGAAGGTAGGAACTCTTATTCTAGAATAGCTACTGTCCTGAATTCAGATCAGATTTCAGAGTTAGGATGGTTCTGTATTACAGCCCCAGATTTCTTACTTACAACAGTAACATCTCTCCTCGTTAGGAGCTACTTAGACCGTACAGATAATATTAATCAGATGATCTCAAAGGCTGACTGCAGCAATCCTGGTTTTGATTCGACACGCTTGCGCCTCATAGGCATCCCTTAGTGCATTTGTGTATCTTTAAAGAGTTCAGATGCCTGAAGCTCCGCCCACAGTCTGAGCAGTAATACGGTTTCTCTCCTGTGTGAATGCGCTGGTGTGATTTGAGACCACCCCCGTCACTGAAGCGCTTCCCGCACTCCGAGCAGTGATACGGCTTCTCTCCGGTGTGGATGCGCTCGTGCGTGATGAGGTTGGCCTTGTTGCGAAAGCTCTTCACGCAGAACGAGCAGGTGTACGGCTTCTCTCCGGTGTGGATGCGCTGATGCGTCGTGAGGTGGCCGCCGTTCCTAAAGCTCTTCCCACACTCTGAGCACTTGTACGGCTTCTCTCCGGTGTGAATGCGCTGGTGCAGCTGAAACTGACCACGTACCGTGAAGCTCTTCCCGCAGTCCGAGCAGCAGAACGGCTTCTCTCCCGTGTGGATGCGCTGGTGTAGTCGGAGGTTATTCCGCTGGTTGAAGCTCTTGCCGCACTCCGGGCAGTGATACGGTTTCTCTCCTGTGTGGATGCGTTGGTGGTCTCGCAGGTGAGTCCGTCTAGTGAAACTCTTTCCGCACTTTGGGCAGTGGTGGGTTTTCTCCTTGACTGTGTTTTTTTGGGCTGCTTTGCGGAGAGCGGCGGAGGACTTTCGCTCCGAAGCATTGGAGGAGGGAAGTTTAAAATGTGAATAAAAGTAGTCGCCAGAGGGAGACGACTTCAGAAAATAGGGCACCGAACTGGACATCGTTTCTGGAAGAGAAAAAAGAAGAAAACTGAACTACTTAAGTCATATTTTCAGTCAACTGATCAATCTTTATCATCATGTTTTTTCTACATCAACTGAATACTTTTGAATTACATTGCATGAAAATTTTACCATGAATGGACCAAAAGAAATGCTCCAAATTTGCTTGGAATATGATTTCTTTCCATTAACTTGACATTAAAACAATTAAATGTTTTTGTCTTCTCCTGTACAATTGCAATTTTGGAGATACTTGTCTTTTTTGGAAATATCTGACATAACAATTGCTTGTAGCACCACAAAACTCAAACTAAGCAAAGCAAGTCAAGATCTAACATTAGTAGAGAACGTGTTTGAACATTTATACATTTAGAAAATGTGATTAAATGACAAAAAATATATAGGATTGCTATCAGCCAATACTCAGGGTTTCAGTGTCAGTATCAGTATCAGAAAGGGAAAAGTAGCATGGTGCTAAATGCAACAAAAAGCATTAACATTGGTGGGGACAGTACCTATTGCAGACAACGTTTAGGTCAGGGGTCACAAGCCTATTGTTAGGAAGAGCCATTTTGTTCTTGTTCTTTGTTCAAAAATCAAACCACCTTGGGAGCCACAACAACATTTTGTACGTTTCACCATCTTGGCTGTAAATATGTCTCAGTATGTGCTAATGTGCTAGTATAGACTAAAATATAGTATAAATGAAAACGCAGACTTATTTTGCTCTGCTTTAAGCTTTAGATCAGCTATAGTCGCTTTTCTCACATCTCCGACAGAAAACATTTCCAAAAGCAGTTCGACTTTTTACAAGGCTGAAGTCGCTTCTCATTTGTCAGCTTCTCCCACCTTAAATGGAGCCTGATGTGCCAGAATGTAACTGCTGCACCATTTAAGGTGGAACAGGACAATTTTAATGAGAAACTTCAGCTTTGCGACTCTTTAGTGTTTGTCAGTTTCTCGCTGCAGATTAAACGTATCAGGAAACCAGCTGGAGTGATTATAAACACTAATAAGTCCATTCGTCTCCAAATTATTGAGGTTCATCTTAAATCTTTCTCTTTGCCGTTTCGCTACTAGCTAGGTGAGATTGTTTTCTGTGCTGCTATGGTGACCAGCAGTCTGCACTGATCTTCAGGGTTAAAGGGTGAATTAGCAGTTCTACATTAACTCCATTTATTGTTAAACTGTGTTGAACGATCAGCAGAGCTTTATTTTACTGTAAAGGAGGATTATTTTATTTTTACCTACAAATCTAATTCTGCTGTGGAGCCACAACAGCGCAGTAACACAGCCGCATGAGGCTCCGGAGCCACATGTTGCTGACCCCTGGGTTTAGGTTCACATCAAATGAAAACAATCATTTATAATTGCTCAAAATTAAACCAGAATACAGATCTGCAGCTGTGAATCTGCTTCTGCGGTTCTCAGTTCCTGGCGTAAGGGATCCTGTGCTGCACAGTCCAGTCAGATATAAAAGTGGTCAAGTTTGCTGTGATGTGTAAAAGATTTACAAAGATTGAGCCTGTCTGGGCGATTATTAATGAACATGTTAGAGTCATGTAAACAATGAAAAGTGACTGTTTTACTGCAACACATTATAATTATGGTATGATTAAGTGCAATAGCACAAACATCACTACTCACAGAGGGCTCACCAATCTAATCCACAAAGGGCTTGTATGGTTTTTGATTAAATAGGTTTCATGCAGTTGATCAGTTATGGGAATAAAAGCCATGCAGCCCTTGCAGATATGTGAGCTCTTCATTAATACCCCTGTATTAATGTATAAATGAAAATCGCTGCTAATACACACGCTGTAAACAAAACCATTCCAGACCCAGAAAACACCCTGCTGAAACAGCGTTGCCAGCCCAAGCTGTTTTGGTTCAGGTTTAATGGTTTAGTTGGTCTGCCAGTATGGCCAGGTCTACCAGCATTGGGTGTTTTCACCCAGTTGATGACCAGCTTGTCAACCACCTTGACCATCAAAGGCCACCCTGCTGAAAAAAGACCATCAGAAGCCAGTAGGATCAAACTTAATGGTTTTGCTTTCTAATGGAAATTGGCTTAATGGTTTCCAATATAGTCCACCATTTTCCTGTAGAACACCTTTAGATCCCATTAGGAAACAATTGAATGCATTTAGAATCAGCCACTGGTCACCTGTTAAACCATGAGGATCCTTTACATTGTCATACTAACCCATTAAAAAAAAGCCAAAACAGTACATAACAATCATGAGCCAAATGAAACACTTAATGGTGTCACCTTAGACCATCTTAGACCAGCTGGATTTTTCTGCAGTGTTTTCCCTTATGTACACTTTCCCCTCTCAGTGTCACTGTGTCCTATTCAACACTGTTATAAACCAGCAGCAGCTACTTAACCTGCCAAAGCCTGTAAACTAATCCAGTGGAGAAGACCTGCAGGTCTGTGTGGGGGTTGCTCACACAAAAAAGGATACTTAAAATTCATTTTATTAAGTAAACTTACGTAAAGTTCAAGTATATTTTCTAAGTATACTTTATGTAGTAGGCAAGCTAATATCAAAGTACTAGTAGTATACATGTAAGTGTACTATTTCAGTACTTCTTAGGACTAACCTGACCCACTATTTAGTTTATAAAAGTGTAATTTGAAGTATAGCACAAGTACAAATATTATTATACAGGGTGATTCAAAATGATTCATCCAATTTCAAAGCGCCATATTTATATAACTGTGAGGCGCCGAGGAACCATTCACAATCCAATTAAAAGAGGGGGTCATAGAGTTTCTGACTGTCCGTGGAAGATGGCTCCCTTCAGTCTGAGAGGAGATGCGACCCCTGAGCAGAAAGTGTTCTGCGTTCTCCACTTCAATAAGAGTGAATCCGTCATAATTTTGCCGCTCAGAGTTTTCAGCGTTGGTTCCACAACACTTGATTATCTCTGAAATCGCACTGAAAGAGCCGTGAGTACAGCAAGACCTGACATGCTCAACCCAGTATGGGATAAATGTGACTATGGCGTTGATGTTGTCCGTACAGCTGGAGGAGGTTCATACTGAGACCTTGTACAATTACATAATAAACTTTATGCTCATTTAAACCATTTACAGTTTACTGCAATGTTCTGTAATGAATGAAATAAATCTTTCTGAAATCGGATGGATCTTTTTGAATCACGCTGTATGTACGTTAGCCTGACTGCATGTCTTCGGACTGTGGGAGGAAACCCACACACACACACAGGGAGAACATGCAAACTCCAGGCAGACAGAACTCTGGTCACCCAGGAATCAAACCAACTGTGCCACCATGCTGCCCTGTTACTTTATACATACTTATACTGTTCTTAAGCACATCTCAATCGACAGATTAAGTACAAGTATAGGCTGAATATACTTAAACTTTTCTGTATACTTGTAAGTATAAGCCAAGTATACTTAAGTATAATTTTATCTTGCTTATCTCTTATAAGTACATAAAAGTATACTGAAAGCATACTTAGTTATTTTTTAGTTTAAAAGAAGTTTACTAACAGCTCACTTGAAGAAACTTCTTTTTTGTAAGGGTTGGTCTGATGACATCAGCAGGATTATCTTACATGTAGAATGAAACATATTTAAACATCTTTACGATATTCCAGAAAAAAAAATGACATACGGCATAAACGTGCCAGCTTTAGAACATCCCTGCTTAAAATCAGACTGTTAGATCCATTAGGTCCGAAACCTGATGGTTTTGCTTGCTGATTGGAATTGGCTTAATAATTGCCATTAGAGACCACTAGTTTCCTGTGTAGGGCACGTTTAGATCCCATTAGGAGACCATCAGATACATCTGGAATCAGAACACCTGTTAGTCCTTTACACTGTGATATCAACCCATCAGGAAAAGCCAAAACACCATTACAGAACCACAAGACAGTTAATAGTTTATGTTTTGTCACAAAGGGAAACCCTGAGCTCCTCATCTGTGTCTGAGTACAGACAGCAGCACCTCAGAGCTCGGTTCCTCAGCAGAGTCTCAGAAGGTTGTTCTGGTGCTGGGTTAGGTCAGTGTTCCTGGCCCTGGAGCTCCACTGTCCTGCACAGGTCAGTGCTCTAACACCCACTGTACCTCAGTGATGGGCTGTTAATCAGGTAGATCAGGTGAGCTGAGAGCAAAGAGAACACTGCAAACACTACAGTGCAGAGCAGAGGCCTCCAGAACCAGCGCTCAGAAACACTGCTCTAGATAGCCTGAGAGAGAACATCTCTACAAGCGCTCCTCTCAGAGTAAAGAACACACTGTACACTGAGTTAATCAGGTTCTACCTCGATGAGAGCAGCTCCTGTTCGTCTCCTCCAACAACACTGTAGCGGCGCGGAGGCGTGGACTGCTGACCAGAGCGGAGCTTCTGCTTCTCCGCTTTACTGGGGTTGGAGAAGCTCATTGATACAATTAGCGCCCCCACCTGGACTGCAGGGGAACCACACTGATACAATTAGCGCCCCCACCTGGACTGCAGGGGATACAGCCACAGTTTCTTACGTTGTCGTTTTCCAAAAAATTGGTAAAATGATTTCTAGATTATTATTGGGAATATATATTGTGACTATATGTATTACATTGACCTCACACACTTACAGAACATAAGCTGTGAATTCATCGCCATTTCCTGTGTGCAATATTTTTAAAATATCTCTATAGTGTAAAGATTTTTTGCTTCTCTACTTATAATGTTTATGTTGTTAACTCCTCACCAACCCATGTGTAATATAAATCAGTACCTCACGTGCAATACTTGAAATTCGGGTAAAATATCCTCACAGTGTAAATATCTTTGCTTTTATTTATTTAGAATTCTTTATATTGTTAATTTTTGTGAAGGATAGAGTTTATATTTTTGTTCTTTTTTTATTTTTAGTATTATATATATTGTCTATAAAGTAACAAGTAACAAACTGTAAACCTTGCTAAGTAACTAATAAGATTACTTGCTTGTTAATTCTCTTTTTGTTACTTATTTTCTGTACACTGTAAAAAGTGGCTCATCAGATTAGCCTACAAAATTACTTCCTGTGGTAACAAGTAAATTAACTAGTTTTATTTGACCTAAATAAATACTTTAAATGAATGAATCTTTCAATCAATGTAATATTTTGAAATGAAAATTAAACTAATTAAATTGTTTTTTACTACATTAAGTAATATTTGATCTGACGAGACACTTTTTACACTGTAAGCCCGGATAAGTTTAATTTACTTACAAAAAATGAGGAAACCGGTTGTTATAAAGTTATCACACCTAAAAGACAAGATGATTTAACTTTTTTAACTCTACTTTGAATCTTGATTTTAAGTAAATACAATATTAACTTAAATACTGATTAGGATCATTCATGGAAAAACAACTTGATTAATAAACAGAAAATATAAACAGAACAGATAAAACACTGGCAATAGTTGTGTTTGAGGTTGTAATGTAACGTACCCAAGAATATAATGAATTTTATAAAAGTTTCCCCTCATTTTCAACTTTCAAAAGCAGGTACAGCTGCAATTTTTCATTCCAGTCAGGGATCCAGGTGTTTGGTAGCTAACGCAGCTGGAGCTTAACAACAATTTAGCAAAATCTTTACTTAATTCACCATAAGAGCACCAGGACGTGACCTAGATTGTACACTGATGTGCTGATTGTTGTTTTTACAGTGACATTTTGCTATAAGGTGACATTTGTTCGGAAGCTAAGAATTAGAAGAATTTTGTTCATATTTTCACGCTCAGCAGAAAAAAATAAACTTTCTATGATGATCATGATTGCTTGGGTGTGCTGAGAAATGCACTATACTGTTTTACCAATCAATATGCTAAGCTAACTAGCAAGGTGATTTTAAATTAGCCAAATTCGACTTTTAAGAGAGGCAAAAGACTAAAAAGACAAATATATTACCAATCGTGGTCATTATAACGGTTCCAGCCATTATAATGACAATGAACTAGAGCTAGAAGCTTGAGTCTCATTGGTTCCAAGTTTGGGTCAGTTCTTGTTTCTGAATGTGCAGTGTAAAAACACACTGCAACATTCATCAGTATTAATCAGTTTACCTGGTTAATAAGAACTACTGGTGACTTATTGCTCAGCTGCTGCGTCCGATATACTGTTCGTTCACCACCATTTAGGTTATCCAAACACTGGAGGTTCACTCCAGGTCATTCTACAGAAACATCCATTTTTGTGTCCTTAGTGTTTACAGATATTTTACACTTGTAAAACCCATTAGGGTTACAATTTATTTATATTTTAAAATTAACAATATGTTATTTTAACAATTACACCTTCCTGAGCCCCAATTTAGCAATATTGGTTTTTAAATCAATCACATAGAATTCCAAACACCACAGAAGAGCTCGTCCCCACAGTGTAAAGGGTGAGGCCATATTTTGAGGTAAAAAAAAAAAACATGTTTTTCTGCCATTTTTACTGCAATAATTTATAAATGACTATGGAATATATGAATTAAATGACAGAAAGAAAACAAACACCAAATGAATATTATAAAATATATAGTGAAAGTTGGGGTCCCAGGAGTCGTGTCACTGGTGTTACTGCGTAACAAAAATTTCTTATTTTGAAATAAAAGTCACACTGATGACATCACCTGACTTCCTTTTACCTGTGTTCTGAGGATCTATGAAGAAAAGCTCATGGTGAGTCCACTGTGTCTTTCAGTTATCAGAGATTCTCTCATTTAGCTCATGATTTCATATGGAGCTTTTAGCTGAAGTCACTGGTGTGACCGACTTAATTCTGAGGTAATTGTGAAAAAATAGAATACAAATGGATTAAATTACATATTTTGGTGGATATTCCATGATTGACTACATGTGGTTTGATGCTCTGTAGCAGCCATTCTGTAAAATGCATTGTTCATTAAAATGTCTCTGGTGTTACATTTATTATATAACACCAGTGAGGATCAGGAACACCAGTGACTCAGTGGACGTTTCTGTAGAATGACCCTAATATAAACTTACAACACACATTTTAGCTCTTAGAGTAAAACTCCAGCCCTACAGCAGACAGACTGAGACAGATCTGCAGGAGCTTCATGAAATCATCCACTTTACTACATTTGTAAATAGAAAAAGTTTCAACTCAGTTAAATGCAACAGATGAAAATGGATACACTGTTGATGTACATTCATACGGAGCCCTGCTGATCACATCTCGTGTAAATAAAAAGAATGCATGGCCATTCCTTCTGAACTTGTGGGAACGAGATCCTAATGCATGGCCACAACTTATCTTGTCCCCACACCTTCCTAAGTCAAGACATTGATTCTATATAGAACCAAGAACACTCAAAGAATCGATTTCATGTTTATAGGGTTCTTTGCATCGTGAAAGCGTTCTTCAGATTGATGGAGAATGTACTGTAGATAGTTCTATATAGAACCTTTTTGAAAAGGGTTCTGCTATTACGATATCAAGCTTATAACAGAAGAACCCTTTTTGGTTGTACATAGAACCATACACAGTGCATTCTCTATCAATCTGAATAACCATTTTACCATGCACAGATCCTTTTATTTGTGCACAGGGCTCTTTGACTGTTCATAGTTCTGTATAGAACCATTTTCTTTACTAAAGAATCCTTGAACAACCATCAACCATCTGTGCACTACACAGAATGCATCACAGTGTCAACATCAGGTATATTTTTACACTCTGCTCGTATAAATTTAATGAAATTGGACTTTCAATTTGTCACGTTTGGTACGCTATATAGACAAATTATTGGGGCACTCCTTTTAATTATTGAGTTCAGGTGTTTCAGCCACACTCATAGCTAACAGGTGTATAAAATCAAGCACATAGTCATGCAGTCTCTGTTTTTCAAATTTCTCCTTTAATGATAAACCTACTTTCCCACACTAACCAAACACCAAAACTTCTTTCAACAATATTTAGACTTTTTTATTCCCATTTCTGTCTTTTTTGTCTAGAATTTTTATGTGGATTTTCATAATATGCATTGAAAAAGCTCTCGTGGCTTTCTGAGGGCTTAATATTGGTTTAATTTCATGTAGCAATGGCAAGATGGTATGTTACAAATTTTTGGATGTGGTAAGGCACGCGTGCAGTGGCCTTTACAGTATTAAAGGGGGCTTGTTTCTGTTTTTTCCCTTTCCTTTATTGTGTTGTATTTTTTTGTGCATGTAAATGTTCTACAAAGTCCCAAAGCTCAGTGTTCCCTCCACAGGGAGAAACTCTCTCCTACAGAATCCACATTTCTCAGCTGCCTGAAACGCCTCGTTGGAATTCCAGCCCTTTTCCCTCGTTACAGGATGACTCAATCTCATAACACAGTCCTTACTGCCTGCCTACCGGCGAGCTCGGCCCCCTCACACAGCGCACAGCGGCTACTGGAGGAGGAAGAGTGTGTTCAGTGCTGTAGCGTGTGGAGAAGACACTGACCGGACTTTCAGGATCCACTCTGGATCAAACTGATAAGGCAGAACCGACACTGCTGGAGAAACAGCCACAGCCGAGTTACAGCTACTCAGGAGTGAAGGGTCTGTCTGCAGACTGCAGGACAGGGGCGGAACATGTAGGGGCGCAATCACTTTGGAGGGAGACGGATCAAAGTGGGAGAGCTGACCAATCAGAGCACAATGGCCTCATTGGGAGGGGGAGCTTAAAGACACAGGAGCTCTAACAGAGTGTTTCAAACAGAGGGTGAATAGAGATGAACAATATGAGGAAAATAACGTGTTTTTGGAATACTGCGAAATGTTTGAATGGAAACTCAGCCAATGATGTGCTTAATGATGTGTTTCCATCCTCTACACCTATACAAAGACACTTTAGAGGACGTAGGCTACCGTTATTAGGGGCTGCATCAAAAAGAGCAATATGGAGAGATCTAACTCGGTGTTTGCTTTAAGTAGAATCATCTGTACAGCCATTTGCTATAATGCTACGTTCGTTTGCAGCTCAGAGACGCCGGGCAGGACAAGCAATGGCCACCTACCGAGGGCCAAAATCTCAGTGCCCTCCCAATGATGTTCATCTTGCACCTGGCAAATGCACCAGACAGTTCTGGAGCTCACTGTGCAGAGCCTTTTTTCAAACCAGCTTTGATGAGGCATTTCAGAATCTCCAAAGCAGCCTTTGAAAAGCTCTGCGCTGTGATCGGACCATCTAGGAATCACAGAATTCTGTGACTTACAGCCAAAATAAGAATGCATAATAGGTCCCCTTTAAAGACTCCACTCATTCTAGGCTGTGAGAATAAACACAGTAGTTACAGAGGTTTCATAATTCACTCAACAGTTTTCATCTCACTCTTGGGGCACTTATGCTTCTTGAAGCTGCTCAAATGTCTGAAGCTCTTCCCGCAGTCTGAGCAGAAGTACGGCTTCTCTCCTGTGTGGATGCGCTGGTGAACTTGCAGATAACTCTGCTGGTTAAAACTCTTCCCGCAGTCCGAGCACCGATACGGCTTCTCGCCCGTGTGGATGTACTGGTGTGTTTTCAGGTTCCCTCGGTCTCTGAAATATTTTCCACAGTACGAACAGTGAAACGGCTTCTCTCCCGAGTGAATGCGCGAGTGCGTTCGAAGGTGGCTTTCCTGATTAAAGCTCTTCCCGCACTCCGAACAGCGATATGGCTTCTCTCCTGTGTGAATCCGCTGGTGTTTTTGGAGGTGGCTCAGCTGGTTGAAGCTCTTCCCGCAGTCCGAGCAGTGATACGGCTTCTCTGCCATGTGAATGTGCTGATGAGCTTTGAGATTTCCTCTGTCTCTGAAGCTCTTTCCACAGTACTGACATTCAAACGGCTTCTCCCCCGTGTGGATGCGCTGGTGAACCCGGAGAGTGCTCTTCAGAAGAAAAGCCTTCCCACACTCTGAGCAGGGAAACGGCTTCTCCCCCGTGTGGATACGCTGGTGCAGTTTGAGACTGCTCTGTCTAGTGTACCTCTTCCCACAGTCAGGGCAGAAGTGAGCACTCTCCTCAGTGGTGCTTCTCTGCTTTCGCCTGTGAGATGTTTTAGTGCAGAGAGCACCAGAGGATCTTTGCTGAGCACTGGAGCTTCTTTTGGGTGCCATATTCGCAAGTCTCTACTCATTTCTGTACCATCTGGGGCATCTTTTGTGTTGATGTGTGGAGATAAATACAAACTAGTCGACACACCAGGAGCAGGAGCCCGGCATCAGGATGATGTTCATTCCTGGAGGAGATAAACAAAAAATATTGAGAAGTCAAATGTAAAAATGAGACGACAGTGACACTACACCTAAAGTAGTTATTTTATAGGTGGAACACGTGTCCTGGGTGATCCGATCATAAGGGTACAGCACTAAGCACAGGTCTGAATCAGAGCATGTGAGTGGAGCGGCAGACTGGAACAACAAGCATTTTACTTTAATATTTAGTCACAAAGCACCAGAGTTGGCAGAACCACGGGGGGCGAGCGGGCATTTGACCCACCACTTTCCGATTGAGTTCAGATAGCTTACATCATACAGATATTAACCTATACAGAGCGCTAACCAATAGACATAAACAGAAAGAGAGTCAAACTCACTGACAGAACCAATCAGAATCTCCATTTTACCTGTGGGGTGGAACATTTCCCAGACAATAAAGGGGTTTGAGAGTTGCTGTGCTGTGAGAGGAGCTGCAGCTCACTATTCCCGTAAAAGTGTTTTACTGCGATACATGATGCACCAGGCCACAGTTTGTGTTACTACACTGTGTGACTTTACAAAATATCACTTTGATCTACTCTGAACGACTTCTTTAGTTCAGTGAACACTTCACCTGTATTCAAGTCCGCACTGAAGAACTGATTGATGAGGAAATTCAGCACCAGAGCATGCTTTCCTCAGTGCACATCAGCGCTGCACTGTCTGAATAATCTGCCTGCTTTAACAGCGACTCTGTACAGACGCTCATATCGCTCCTGCAGCTCCAGCTGCTGTTAATTATAACAAAATAATAGTAAAGTTCTATGTCTGATTTGGGCTCATGAATCACGGAGCGTATTTTTGGCCATGCATCAGAGACCTGATTGGTTACATTCAAACTGACAAACCAATCTTAAACAAGCAGGTACAAAGTATGATTTATTGCTACTGCAATGACTGTGACACACTTTTTTATATTTTTTCCCTGTTTTCATGGTGACAAATCTTTGCAGGGCGTCGCTTCCCTGCAAAACTGGTACATACTTTAGAAAATGAACCGGGTTTGAAAACTTCAGATATGTTAGCTATCAGAGTTTACTGTCTGAGGCTGAATCCAGTGCAGGATCAAAGCAAACAATGACCCTTTTTCTCAAATCAGATCTTCTGAGACGACTGTCCACTCTGCTATTTGCAAGCGATCAGATCGGGTTTGTGTGTCTAAGATAAGATGTGTGCTGTAAGATAAGATACGATTCCTAAATGAAGATTTCGCAATTCCTATGATTGCGAAAGATCTTATCTTGACCTGTCAGATCAGAGCTTAAGACAAAAAGATGGACAGTTTCTGTAATGCGGCCCCTGGTTTGTATGTCCACACTGCTCTGAAAAGATCAGATATGTCACATTAAGATGAAACAACTGATTTGTGCCACTCAGATTTGGGTGGGAGGTGAGATGCAGGAACGTGGATCTCCTGAATGAGGGTTGTTGACTGCTGTTCTAAACTATGTTTATAAGTCAGGTAGTAAATTGCATTTTGAGTGGCCACCCACAGAAGTCTTTGCCAGTGCAGTCGTCAGTGTTCTGAAATTCAGTGGCTTCTGAGAGGCTAGCTATCCAGACTACATAAAGATGAAACAGTAACAACACTGTAATGTACATTATAATGTGCTATAACCATCCAATTGCTACATTTATTCAGCCACACCTTTACCCATTACTCTTCATGTAATGAACACAAACACGTCCATCCAACAAGACACCTGATTCTGAAAATTACCAAAAATTTATCAACAACCTTTCAAATGTACTTGGCCTGTTCGCATTGAAGGCATCACAACACTCACCACACCATTTTCACACCACATGTGCAGTAAAACTGTACCTCTTAATGGACTAAATAAAATCCTGGTCCTGCGCTGGTCAGTATTTCTTCTGTTCTAACAAGCCCAGTTCTACTCTGAGGACGCTGTGGGTTCTCCAGGTCCAGATCTGAAACAACAAAGTTCAGTATAACTATGAATCTCTGCACAATTGAGTGTGTGAGATGTAAACAGAGTGATTCAGAGTGGTTTGGTGTGAAATGGTTCAGATGTCTTTACAGTGGTGGTGAAAGGAACCAGGGGTGGCCATGACTACAACACAAATATAGCCATTTTATTTACCATCCAAAACCGCCAGTGAACCTACATGAGTCTTCTGAGTCTATATGGAATGTTGATGATGGAAAATAGTGGAAAATCTGAAATAATAAGTTTTCTTTGGGGACTATTTTGCCTCAAAACTTTCTACGGCTTAAAGTGTTTAAAAAAGTGTTCTACGCCAAAGCCTTCTCAAAACTACCATAACCCTGCTGAAAGAAGACCACTAGAACCATTAGGAGTAAAACCTGATGGTTTGGCTTTCTACTGGGAAAGGGCTTAATGGTTACCATTGGAGACCAACTAGTTTCCAGTAGGACACCTTTATGTCCCATTAGGAAATCATGTATCTAGAATCAGAACACCTGTTAAACCAATCCTTTATTACACTGTGATATTTACACCTAAGATTTTTGTCAGCAGGAAGCGTTCTTTAGTAAAGGCAGTGTTTCTGTTTAGACTTACGAGTTCTATATAGTAATATTTGCATGCTTAAATGGTTCTCTGCATGGTGGAATGGTTCTTCAGATTGATGGGGAGTATGGTGTTGTTTATGGTTCTATGCAGCACCACAAATAGAGTTTTGCTACTGTTAGGATGTCAAACTTGTAACAATGGCAGAACCCTTTTTAGAGCTAATCTGTATAACACTCTCCATCAGTCTGAAGAACCGTTTCACCATGCAGAGAACCATTTAATCATGCAAAGATTACTATATAGAACTCATAGTTCTAAACAGAAACATTGCCTTTACTAAACAACTCTTAAAGAACCATCTTTTTTAAGAGTGTTCTTCTCAAAAAGAGAACATCTCTCCACTCATCTGAGACAGTAAGGCTGGTAATCAGGTTCTACCTCGATGAGAGCAGCTCCTGTTCGTCATCCTCCAACAACACTGTAGCGGCGCGGAGGCGTGGACTGCTGACCAGAGCGGAGCTTCTGCTTCTCCGCTTCACTGGGGTTGGAGAAGTGCACTGATATAATTAGGCGCCCCCACCTGGACTGCAGAGGAACCACACTTGGAACCATGTGATCATCCAGAGCGTTGTTTTTAATTCAACCCGTTTTCCGACAAACCCCCGCCTTCTGCGCAACGACTGGATAGTAGTTCATGCGAGCAGGCTGCCGATTGGCCAGTTGAGAAGGCAGTCATATCCAGATTAGCACGCATTTCACAGTCACAGTTACATTCTGTTAGAAACAAGTTAGAAAAAAAGCATCAGTTAGCATTACTGCTACTGAGCGCTGATTGGTTAGCATTACTACTACTGAGCGCTGATTGGTTAGCATTACTGCTGCTGAGTGCTGATTAGTTAGCATTACTGCTACTGAGTGCTGATTAGTTAGCATTACTGCTACTGAGCGCTGATTAGTTAGCATTACTGCTACTGATTGCTGATTGGATAGCATTACTGCTGCTGAGTGCTGATTAGTTAGCATTACTGCTACTGAGCGCTGATTAGTTAGCATTACTGCTACTGATTGCTGATTGGATAGCATTACTGCTGCTGAGTGCTGACTGGTTAGCATTACTACTACTGAGTGCTGATTGGTTAGCATTTATTCAGCCTAAGTGCTGATTGGTTAGCATTACTGCTACTGAGTGCTGATTGGTTAGCATTACTGCTGCTGAGTGCTGATTGGTTAGCATTACTGCTACTGAGTGCTGATTAGTTAGCATTACTGCTACTGATTGCTGATTGGATAGCATTACTGCTGCTGAGTGCTGATTGGATAGCATTACTACTACTGAGTGCTGATTGGTTAGCATTTATTCAGCCTGAGTGCTGATTGGTTAGCATTACTGCTACTGAGTGCTGATTGGTTAGCATTACTGCTACTGAGCGCTGATTGGTTAGCATTACTGCTGCTGAGTGCTGATTAGTTAGCATTACTGCTACTGATTGCTGATTGGATAGCATTACTGCTACTGAGTGCTGACTGGTTAGCATTACTGCTACTGAGTGCTGATTGGTTAGCATTACTACTACTGAGTGCTGATTGGTCAGCATTACTGTTAATGAGTGCTGACTGGTTAGCATTACTGCTGCTGAGTGCTGACTGGTTAGCATAACTGCTACTGAGCGCTTATTGGTTAGCATTACTGCTGCAGAGTGCTGATTGGATAGCATTACTACTACTGAGTGCTGATTGGTTAGCATTACTGCTACTGAGTGCTGATTGGTTAACATTACTGCTACTGAGTGCTGATTGGTTAGCATTACTGCTACTGATTGCTGATTAGTTAGCATTACTGCTACTGAGTGCTGATTGGTTAGCATTACTGCTGCTGAGTGCTGATTGGATAGCATTACTACTACTGAGTGCTGATTGGTTAGCATTACTGTTAATGAGCGCTGATTGGTTAGCATTACTGCTACTGAGTGCTGATTGGTTAGCATTACTGCTACTGATTGCTGATTGGTTAACATTACTGATACTAAGCACTAATTGGTTAACGTTACTGCTGCTGAGCGCTGATTGGTTAGCGTTACTACTACTGAGTGCTGATTGGTTAGCATTACTGTTAATGAGTGCTGATTGATCAGTATTACTGCTACTTAGCAGTGATTGGTTAGCATTACTGCTACTGAGCGCTGATTGGTTAGCATAACTGCTACTGAGCGCTTATTGGTTAGCATTACTGCTGCTGAGTGCTGATTGGTTAGCATTACTGCTACTGAGTGCTGATTGGTTAACATTACTGCTACTGATTGCTGATTAGTTAGCATTACTGCTACTGAGTGCTGATTGGTTAGCATTACTGCTATTGAGCAGTGATTGGTTAGCATTACTGCTGCTGAGTGCTGACTGGTTAGCGTTACTACTACTGAGTGCTGATTGGTTAGCATTACTGTTAATGAGCGCTGATTGGTCAGCATTACTGCTACTGAGCACTGACTGGTTAGCATTACTGCTGCTGAGTGCTGACTGGTTAGCATAACTGCTACTGAGCGCTTATTGGTTAGCATTACTGCTGCTGAGTGCTGATTGGATAGCATTACTACTACTGAGCAGTGATTGCTTAGCATTACTGCTCAGGAGCAGTAGATTGGTTAGCATTACTGTTACTGAGTGCTGATTGGTTAGCGTTACTGCTATTGAGCAGTAATTGGTTAACAACAACAACAACAACAACAACAACAAACAATAGTAATAAAATAATGATCATATAAAAAAATAAAATTATAAAGAACATTTCTAAAATGTTGGTGAAAATAAAGTAATTATCTTGTCTTGGCTGAAGTGTAAGTCTTAATTCATTTACTACACACCAATAAACGGAACTGAATTGAATTGAATAGTTAGGATTTAGGGTTAAGTGACCAAGCCTAGGCTTAGAGGTTCGGGTTTAGGGTATAGTAAACAAGGCTAAGGTTTGCGGTCAGGGTTTTGGATCAGTTAACAAGGCTAGAGTAGTTAGGGTTTAGAGTGTAGTGAACAAGGCTAGGCTTAGAAGCTAGGGCTTAGGGGACATAGAGTATACGGAACACAGCCTGGATCTCCTGAACCTACTGCGCCCCGCAGCTGGAGTTATCCCGAGTTAAAGTCAGAGTTAGAGTCAGAGTTAGAGTCAGCTCCTCTCCGTGTTTATCTCTCTCTCTCTCTCTCTCTCTCTCTCTCTCTCTGTGTCTGTGTAAAATGAAGCTCTGGGGTTTGGCAGTGTTTTCGGTCCTGCTGGTCTCCTTCCGCTGGGTGGATGTTTCAGCTCAAACCACACCAACCAGTAAGACTGTAAACTTACTGTAAAACTCATCTAAACTGCGGTTTAACGGTTAAACCACAGCATCCTTTAAAAAATAGCACATTTTCTGACTGGCTAGCGTTAAAGTTAACCCGCTAGCGCTGACTGTTTTAGCTGTTTAGCTAAATTAAACCGTTAAAACTGCGTGATAAAGTTTCACCGGAGCTGCTGAGTAACATATAAACCAGTTTAGATGCTGAATTAAACATTATAAAGTGTATTATTGTGTGTAAAGTTACGGAAAACGGCTAAATATCTGATAGAGTTAAAAGTTTTCAGCGGATTTAACGTTAATGCTCGATCACGTGACCCAGAACCGCACAACAATATCGAACATAAACAGAGCGGGTTCAGTAGCTCCGACCCTGCAGGGCTCTGAGTTTAACAACATTAATATCTATATGATATTCTACAGTATCGTGGTTGTTTGTGTCTGTAACTCCCTGTTCTGGTTTTCTTGTTGTGCAATAAGAATCATGCGGTTCACTGCAGTCATGTGATTCCTGTTCACTTACGAAAAATCACAATAATAACTACATATATTTATACAGGACTCCATCAAGACTCTTATTACTGTAGTTCACTACACGATACTACACAAGCGGTATAGATTACTATAATACAGCACTGCGTGTACTATACAGGGGACTCAATATTTTAGATGATGATTATAGAAGTATTATATAAATGTCATAGAGCGCTATGTAAAGCCTGTATACAAAATATTTTTGCTACATTGCTCTATAATTCGTGACCTAAACATATTAACTTGTTATCTCAGTACATTAACTCATGGTCTTAATACATTACCTTGTGATCTCAATAAATTAACTTGTGGCCTTAGTATAGTAGTTGGTTGCCTTGATATATTAACTCATGGAATCAATATATTAACTTATGGATTCAATTTATTAACTTATGGTCTCAATTTATTAACTTGTGGCCCCAATATATTTACTCATGGAGTCAATATACTAACTTGTGGCCTCAATATATTAATTGGTAGCCTCAGTGTATGAATTTGTGGCCACGCTTTATTGAAGAATCCTGGTCCCGCTAAGGGCCTGTAGCTGTGATTATGAAGAGAAACAGTGAGTGTGTCCTGTAGTTTGCAGGGCGGTGTGGGCAGGACTTTCCCCTTCTGCCCATAAATGAAGTTGATTATTCACTGAATAGCCTGTAATGTGTACGTTTCTCTTTCAGGCTGTGCTGCGAAATCCAACACCAGCTGTGAGGAATGTCTGTCTAACGTTACTGTAAGTTTTACGCCCTGTTTATTTGTTCTTTTACTTTGTCCGTTTATTAAGGCATCAGTGACAGAACAAGCAGGTAATCAGTGACAGAGTGAATCTGTAATTAGACAGAAGAACTTCACAGCAGTAATATTGGCTTTCCTGAATGGGCTTCATGATATGGAAATAATATTGTATTGTGATATTTAAAGGCATTTTCACAAGACATGATATGCATCACAATATTTTGACAGAAAAAAATGCATCAGTTGTGCCACATTTAACAACTGCGATCAAAAACTTAAAAACAGGAAAAATGATTTATTGTTATTCTTAGAATATTTTATAGATGTATTGCTGATTAACCCACTGGCCATTCTTCATATGAAGTTCTGAGTTGTGTGTTTTGAGTGCGTTTATGTGTCTGAGTTCTGTTTTGCAGTGTTTGTGGTGCATCACTAATCAGAAGTGTGTAGACTATCCGGTCCAGAGCGTCCTGCCCCCAGCGAGTCTGTGTGGTCTGTCTGAAGCGCGCTGGGGGAAGTGTTGGGGTAGGAAACAGTTCAGTTAAACTGCAATTATCTCCACAGAGCAGACACACTGATCAGGCATAACATTCTGACCACCTCCTTGTTTCTACGCTCATTGTCCATTTTATCAGCTCCACTTACTATATAGGTGCACTTTGTAGTTCTACAGTTACAGACTGTAGTCCATCTGTTTGTCTGATACTTTGTTAGCCCCCTTTTACCCTGTTCTTCAGTGGTCAGGACCCCCATGGACCCTCACAGAGCAGGTACTATTTGGGTGGTGGATCATTCTCAGCACTGCAGTAACACTGACGTGGTGGTGGTGTGGTAGTGTGTGTTGCGCTGGTCTGAGTGGATCAGACACAGCAGTGCTGCTGGACTACAAAGTGCACCTATATAGTAAGTGGAGCTGATAAAATGGACAATGAGTGTAGAAACAAGGAGGTGGTCATAATGTTATGCCTGATCGATGTATAAGGCAGGTACAAACCTCTGTAATGGGCATCATGCCCATATTAGCAATTCCTGATATTAGGAGCTGGTTTATGAGAAAAATGAAAATCTCCCCATGTAGTAAACAAAAATGTTCAAAGCAGATATGTTGTTCTGTGTGGGCGTCTTTGCTCTGCACATCACCAGATATTCTGAATTAAGCCTCGGCTACACCAAACCCGAGTACAGTCTGCCTGCCAAAAGACAGTTCTGGATGAACGTGAAAAGTTAAAGCAGCACTATGTAATATTTTTGTCAAAACTGAAAGAAGTGTCATTATTGGATAAGGAGAATATAAACACTAAAGTATGGTGAGCGTGAGCTGCTGTGAGTCGCCCTGTAAAGCCTGAAATAATCACGTAAAAGTCGGAGGTGTCAAGTACTTCACACCACGTTATACATCTTTACATATTAACGTCACACTCAGACTCTAAAAGAAGGTCTGACTCGATGTTTCGGCCTCAAATAATCTCAAAATCAACATCATACTGAAGAGGATGTGATAACAATGGTAGATAATTCACTCACATCCTCAGAGACATGTCCTTCACCAAGTTTAGACTGAGTTCTCTCTGAATTCTCTTTCAACTCACTCGCAAAAGTCAGATTCACCTGCTTGTGGGGCTCTAAATCACAACTGATGTTACACGTTGTGTGCAATTACATTTTTCCACCAGAGAGGGCTCCAAATCCCCAAAGCTGAAGTAGTGTTGCTTTAATTTGCTTTCCGGTAGCAATTTAATTTCGCTCAGAGAAAAAAACATTAGCCCTGTGAATTCACGAACCCCGGAAGAGTTAGCCAGTAGAAGAAGAGAGGGTGAGGAGCTGCTCCTCAGTCAAAAAAAACGATCTAGTTAACTAGATTAGCCAGTTAGCATGTAACCAAATCAAATACTCCCTTCAAAAACACCACCACATCAGGACCAACCACACTCGCCAGATTATTACTGCACCCCAGTGAAGAAAATAGAGAGGTGAGATAAGGTGTGACCACAGCTTTACAGGGTCAATTAAGAGCTGAAATGCAAATACTGCTACATGTAAGCGAACACTGCTGCACACTGAACTGACATCGTAAGACTGACCACACCTAAATAGCCCACACAGTCCAGCAGGCTCTGTCCAGTGTGGTAGTTTAGAGGTGTTTCTCAGTTTCAGGCTGCAGTTTGAGTAGCTGGTGTTGGATTGAACAGTGTTGAAGTTTTAGGCTCACTTTAATATGATGTCAGCTCAGTGTGCAGGAGTGTTAGTTGCTATCAGCATGCTATTCATATGTCATCTCCTCACTGAGCTCATAATTTAGAGAATCCAGTGACCTTCAGTGGAAAAATGTACACAGGACAAAACCTTTTTTGATTTTTGAATATTATATCAATATTGTCTCAAATAACCTATAAGAAAAGGAAAAAGATACATGTATAAGTGAAAAAGTAGAAAAATAATAATAATAATAATAATAATAATAATAGTATCAATAAAAGGCATCCGTAAGTTTCAGAGCGTTTCACACCAAACCACTCGGAACCTCTTAATTATGCATATTTTTGTAAACATTGGTGGACTTCCCCTTTAGGCGTTCTAACATTACTCTAATGCAGAAGTGAAGCTCAGGAGTGTAAATGTGTTCGTCTGTTGATCAGTGAACTTCCAGGCGCTCATCATCACTCTGTCAGTGGTTGCTGGGGCGATCGTCATCGCGGTGCTCGTCTGCTGCTTCTGCTGCTGCAAGTGTGAAAACATTGGGTGAGTTTAATGTTCTGTGTTAGGCTCTTTAACAGCACACGTTCAGAACACACATCACATCACTATGGAAACGCTTACTATTCACCTGTTTATCAGAGGAACAGTAAAAGCACATCACCATACAACATCAGTCAAGCACTGGCGGAGGATCAGTGCAGGTTTATAACATTATATCTGCATTGGTGATTTTGCCTTTGATACATTTATACATTTATGTGTGTGTGTATATATATATATATATATATATATATATATATATATATATATATATATATATATATATATATATATATATAGTTATAATAAAAGCAACATTATCTAACAGTTTTACCTTAAAACAGCAGCTTCAACATTATTTTGATGCTACACTGACTTACAACAGTGAGAATGGCGTCTCTGTCGTTGCCACTCTGGGCCGGAACGCCTGCTATAGTGTTATGTAACTTTAGAGGAGCAGCACGAGAACCTCTCGCCAGAACTGTGTAACACTTTACGGCACCACGTCACACCAACAACTCAGCTGCTGTAAGAAGAAGCAGCTCGGTATTCCCAGCATGGACTTCACTTTGTGCGTTTACATGCACTTCATAATCTGATAACTGCAGAAAATCAGATTTTGTCAGTAATCTGATCAAAGCATTTATATGCACTTGAGTAATCAGATAATGGGTAAATTCTGCGTCTACATTAGTCAGGCAGTAATCAGATTTCTGCTTTGGAACCGGCCAATGAAGAAGACGTGATGTAAACGTAAACTCAAACCTCTTTTTTGAAAACATTGCGCCACTTTACCTGAAAACATGAACATTCATCATCTAGAAGATGAAGAATATTTAAATCCTTCACTTTATCAAGCATGTATTTGGTTTCAGCGTCGCTCCAAAAGTGTTTTGCTGCGTCTCGTGGCGACGCTGCTCGCTTATTTCCGGTACTGTGGTCTGTTTTCAGACATGCTCAGACTGAGAAATCTGAAAGAAATCAGAGTAAGAGTTTACAGCACTGAGAAATCTGATTACTGAGTTAAAATCCAGCCTCTTATCAGATTTCTTAATCAGATTTCTAGACTTTACTCTGATCTAAGAAATCAGAATGTACTGTTTACATACCATTTGAATAATCAGATAACTGCAGAAATCACATGATGTAAACACACTCGCTGACTTTTGCACAGTGCTGTTCTTCAGTAAGCAGTCAGTCATATCAGCATCACTGAGCCAATCAGCACGCTTGTCTCAAAATCTGGACTGCTGATTGGCTCTTTAAATCACATTCAATAAGCAGATTAACTTTATCAGTCTTGTGATTGCTGCTGGGCTCCCCACTTTAACTGGAACTTTCAGGATAGATTTTTGTAACCTGCCTTACAGAAAAAGCTAAAAAAAAATAATAAAAAAAAAGTTTAAAATTTGTGTAAAATTAACAAATAGTAATAATAATAATAATAATAATAAATACAATAAAAAACCCAAACATTTAGTAAAACTGTTTCTTATTGTAGGTGTAGAGCTGTAATATTTTTATTTGTAAGACATTGAAAAACATTGCTGAGGAATCAGTATATCACACTTGAAGAACTTTCTTTTAAGCGTTCTTTAATAAAAGCAGTGGTTCAATTTAGATCCCTGAGTTCTATATAGAATAATTTCTTTTGTAAAACGGTTCTTTGCATGGTACAATTGTTCTTCAGATTGATGGAGAATGTGTTGTATATTGTTCTAGCACCAAAAAGGGTTCTGCTATGTTTATGATGTCAAGCTTGTAACAATAGAAGAACATTTTTTCAAAATGAACGTATGTAGAACCATAAAATGATTCTAAATCATAAATAAAAGAATCATCTTTTTAAGTGTGTAGAAGTAAAAGTATCTGAGTTGTGATCAGAAGGTTCTGAAGGCTCTGAGGAGGGTTCTGCAGAGCTGGTATTGACGATGATGATTTTCCTGATGTTGAAGGTCCAGAAAGGCTGACGAGAGGCTGGAGAGACAGGCTGACCTGAGAAGAGTCCGGCAGGAGGAGAGGTGAGAGATTACAGCAGGACACAATGGAGTTATTCTGTTGGCTGACCATAGATGCACAGTTGGTGCAACTAGGCATGTGCTGATATCAAAATTACGTATCACGATAGTTACTTTGCCCATTTATCATGGTTTATGATATCACGATATTGTAAAATGCTTAAGAAGAAAAAAAGAAAAACAAACTTTGTGGTTACAGTACAATCTGATAGCTCACACGCTAACAGTAATGTTTATCAGTACAGTTTGGGGGAAATTCTGGTATATGCTAATACTTACAGTGCATCACAGACAGTGGCCTAGTAAAAAGCGTTATACGAGTTAGTGCAGGGGTCGCAACCCAAACGTTAAAAAGAGCCATTTTGTCCTTTCAACAACAAATCAAACCACCCTGGGAGCCGCATATTATGTCCATTTCACCATCTTGGCTGTAAATATGTGTCAGTATGTGCTAATGTGCTAGTCACTTTTCTCACATCTCCAGCAGGAAACTTTTCCAAAAAAGTAGAACAGTTTTTTGTAAAATGTCTCTCAGTGTTTGATTTTTTACGAGGCTGAAGTCAGTTCTTCATTCTCCAGCTTCTTGTTTTGAATTTTCCCGTTCCACCTTAAATGGTGCCTGAGGCGCCAGAGTGTAACTGTTGCACCATTTAAGGTGGAACGGGAAAATTCAAAACAAGAAGCGAATGAGAAACTTCAGCTTCACGACTTTTTAGTGTTTGACAGTTTCTCATTCCAGATTAAACGTATCAGGAAACCAGCTGGAGTGATTATAAACACAAATAAGTCAATTCATCTCCAAATTATCGATGTTCATCTTAAATCTCTCTCTTTGCCGTTTCGTTAGCTACTAGCTAGGCGAGACTGTTGTCTGTGCTGGTCTTCAGGGTTAAAGGGTGAATCAGCAGTTCTACATTAACTCCAGAGTTTAAGATCATTTATTGTTAAACTGTGTTGAACGATCAGCAGAGCTTTATTTTACTGTAAAGGAGGATTATTTTATTTTTACCTACTAATCTGATTCTGCTGTGGAGCCACAACAGGACAGTAAAAGTAAAAGATCCGGAGCCGCATGTTGCTGACCCCTGGGGTAGTAGTTATTAAACTCTGAATCTTCAGAAGTTAAAGATAATAGAATCTGTCACTGACGGTTTCAGCACAGCTCCTCCTCTGAACAGCGGTTAGCCGATGTGCCAGCTACGTGATCAGAGCAGTGAGGGCTTGTTAACGCATGGCTGCTCTGTGTCTCTGGTCTGTGGGTTAAACAGGCAGCTTTTTAAGTGCAGTGTCAGTGTTTTGAAGTGTCCACAATAACATTGCCATACGTCTTTAATATAGCGGTATACTGTATATACAGTAAACCAGCACATTTCTAGGCTCAGTTTCAAAGTGAGTCTCTGTGCCCTGAAAGTGTTCCGATTTGATCCTACACTCTCAGAAAGGTACTAAACTGTCACAGTACAATATACTTTTCTGATCATATCGTGTATATCGTCAGTACTTGTAGACACTGACCAACTGCATGTTTAACTATTAAAGGTTTTCGATGGTACTTTTTAAATGTAGCATTACTGGTTCTTTTCTCTGTTCCAAATGATCAGATGTTTGAAATAATAAATAATGACATATTGTGTATCTTGGAAACTTCTTGAAGTATTGCAATATTATATTTTTTTCCATATCGCCCAGCTATATATTCAACTTGAGGAAAAAACATTAATTCCCTGGTGTATGTACCATTCTGTACACTGTTATCATCGAAGTTTGCTAAAAAACCTTGGAAACAGACCATGAGTTCCCCTCACCACCATAGCCTGGCGAGTATTTTGCTTTAATTTCCGATCCGTTGTGCTGGAGTACAGAACCAACATAAACGTTACCTCACTGTCCGGTTACTTATGGATGGTTACTTATGGCACTGTTAGTGTTTTGAATGGCTGCTCTTATTAATGACCTTTGTTTGATTGCAGGAGAGCAGAGATGAAATCGAGACACGATGAAATTCGCAAGAAATATGGTAAGTTTTTTTTTTTTTTAAATAAAAACAATAGATGAAAACATTCAGCGCTGGTACAAAATAGTTTGCAGCTCATCTTCACTTTCTCTCACTTTTTATAGAGTTTTTGGGAGCTGCATTGTTTTTAACAAAAGCCTCTAAATTTCTAAACTTTTAAATGTTCAGTCTAAACCACAGTAGAGTTTATAAGTAGAGGAGATGTTTTATTATGATCTGAGTCTGATGAAAAGTTATTGTTGTGTGTGTCTCGATTTGCAGAAAGAGAAAATGTTTTTTATTTTTAACAGAAGAAAATTCAGAATTGAATCCAGAAATCAAATATAAATGTGATTTACTGTGTAGCTGTGATCAATTATTGTTCACGTGTTTATTTGGTCACGAGAAACAAACAGTTCATTTAAAATTTAAACACGCTCTCATTATGGCTGCTGATTAATCTTCCCCAGCTGATCAGGTTTAATGAATGTCTTCTTAAAGCAAACCTGACATTAAAATACACCATTTTCACTAGAGATGTGCTGATATGGGAATCGAGGGTCGGTGCGGATGTTCAGTGTTTTTAAAGTTGATTTTTCCTGTAGAAATCTGCTGAGATTTCTGTATCTATATTCCTGCTCACACTGATACATAAACATTTATAAAATGCAGAAACTTTGACTGAATCTACTTTTAGTGTTTTAGAGAAGTATAATTTTTATTTGTGAGTTACAAATGCAGTAGAACAAATAAAATGCAGTTACTGTGGATTTCAGGTCTGTAAGTTGTTCCTAAACAGTTGCTATGGCAGCCCAGGTAGTTGCTAAAGTCTTTGAGTGGTTGCTAAGGTGTTGTTACGTGATTGTGAGGATGCCGCTAAGTGGTTGCTATGATATCCCAGGTGGTTGCATTGGCATCCCAGACTGTTGCTTGGGTGTTGCTAGGTAGTTGCTAAGGTATCCTATGTGGTTGCTAGGTTGTTGCTAGGTGTTTGCAATGGTATTCCAGACGGTTTCCAGGTGGTTGCTATAATTTCTCATGTAAGTGTTAGGGGGTTGCTAGGTGATTGCTAAGGTATCCCACGTGGTTGCTAGGGTGTTGCTAGATGGTTGCCATGGTATCCTGGGTGATTGCTAGGGTGTTTCTAGGTGATTGCTAAGGTATTCCAGGTGGTTACTAGGGTGTTGCTAAGCAGTTGCTGTGGTATCCCAGGTCATTGCTAGGGTGTTTCTAGGTGATTGCTAGGGTGTTTTTAGGTGGTTGCTAAGGTATTCCAGGTGGTCACTAGGGTTTTGCTAGGCGGTTGCTATGGTATCCATTGCTCTGCAGTGTGCATACACTAATAACGTGTTTGACTGAAACACTGAGTGTTCCACTCACAAATGGGGCTCAGAACAGAAGTAGAATCAGTTATTTTTCACTGTTCACAGCGACTTTAACATTTAATACTGTTTTTGTTTGTTTGTGTAGGTTTAATGAAGGATAATCCGTACTCCAAGTTTGAGAATAACTGAGGAGCTCCACCCTGGAGGAGCTGACCCTCCGAACGTCCACACTCCTTCAGAAACTGATCCACTGCACTGATTTAATCTCCGACAGTTTCACTCTTTATCTGTGATTTGTCTCAGTAAATATGCTGCTTTTATCGAAGAGCTCTGTCTGAATCTGCACTCTGAGCCTGAACAGCACTGTAAATCCACAGCATCTCTCTCTCTCTCATATCGGGGGGTGGGGTCTTCAGAACATACTTTCCTATTGCATGCTCTGTTCTCATCACTGTATTTAAACGAGTTAATCCTTCATTGAAAATGTAACATTTACTTTTTTGAACATCTGCCAAATGAAAAGTTATTATACCTGTGAAAATATACAGTACAACTCACTACAGTACAGAACATATTTATAAAACAAAACACAGTGACTAATTTTTAATGTGAGTGAGAGGCGGATTTGTAAGATTCTGCTGTTTGTAGAACAGAAATGATAAATATAAAATCTGCTGAATGAGGTATGGATTGTATTTTTGTATTTCCACTGAATAAATATGATTATTAGTCACGTTACAATTGAAAATCTCTTTAACAGTTGAGTGAGCAAAATATCAGCACACAAAAGTAAAATCATAACTCAGAAGATCAAAAACAATAACAGTGTAGAACCAGTAATGCGTTGAGGAGAAACGAGCGCTCAGATTCTCTTGTTGTTATTTAATAGCCGTGTAGTGTATTTATCCACTTTCAGCCACTCACATAAGAGCCCCTTTTCACATTTTCGTGTTTTTTCTGTTGGAAGTTCTTGTTGCAGGTAACGCTGCTTAATAACGATGACGAGTAGAGCGTTTACAGCTCAGTGTTTGAGCTTGAAGCAAAAACAGCCTCATCTCAGTTTCAGTGGTTTGTCAGCTGATGATGATCAGAGGAGAAATGGGTTTGTGCAGTTAACAAAGGAATAAACTTTGTCATATGGAGGAAAAAAACCCTCTGTCAGCATCTCAGCTCTGCTGACTAACGTTAACATGCTTTAAAGTTGCTGCTGACCAGTGTTTCACTGAATGCTGTTGGTGCTTTAAAGTTGCTGCTGTAGCCGCTTTCAGAGGAACAGTTTTCATTTTCTCCCTCTGAAGCTGTCGGTATCTGAGAGAGCGAGAGCTCGGGGGGGAGCAGATGTTTGTTCACTAGAGTCAGTGTTTGTGGAAAACGTCTACAGTGGCGCTACAGACCATGACGACTCAGCGCCCCCTGCTGGTGTGCGTCTTTAGTTTTTTGCCAATTAGTTTATTGTTGGCAAGCTGTTTCAACATCTCCAGCTAATGTGGCTAATCTGGCGTTTTGGTGATAGTTATTTTCACCATCCGTTATTTCATCACTTTGTAGACGTTCGCTGATGTTACTGTGCTCTGATAGCTGGGAAGGAGTTTTTCTAGGTATCATTTATATCCTATGTTGAGTCTGGACTCCCACATTGTTGTGTGTTTGGTTCTCCAACAGTTCTGGACTCACCCTCAAATTTCAGTCTTGGCAACTATGACAAAGATAAAGTGAGACACCTTTCTGTGGTGGCTGAAGTGAGTAACTGTCTGTAAGGCAATAGTGGAGCTCGTTTTATTCAGCGTTTACACACTTCTGTTTCTTGTGAAAAGGTCCTATTGTGTTTTACCTCTAAACATAAACAAAAAAGAATGTATTAAATGATATGTTTAAAAATAAAGATCTGAACCCCGTATTTTAAAAGGGCTTTCTAAAAGCAGCTCCATCTTTGTTACAACGATGCAAAAAAAATAGTCCTACACCAGCAGCTGGATGTTGATTTTACATGTACAGTACATATCAGCGCACTTGAAGGTCCATTTTGTGAGAGACTTTTGGCAGAAGCAAGCATGTCTTTCAGTGTAGGATTATCTTGGGCTTAAACTGAAGCTAATTATGGCTTTGGTAAGTTTTCTAGATACAAATGAAAATGTTTATTATGCAGCGCTAATAAATTATCATTTTTGATGGGAGTTTGTTAAACAAACATTGGGCCTCATTCACCAACTGTTCTTAAGTAGAAATTTCTTCTTTAAACCCACTTTCGCAGTTTTCACAAAGATTCTTCATTCACCGATATTCTCTTATGTGGGGTTTGTTTTTAGGTAAGAATCTACACACACTCAAGAGCACAAAGGTGAGAACAGTTCTGCGCTGTAAGAACACGTCATGAATCTGACAGAGACTTTTTCTTAGGATCTTTCTCAAGATCAAACTTAGGAACAAACTCAGGAAGATATTGGAGAATGAGGCTCTGTGAGTTCTTGTCTTTTTGAGGATGTTGTTCACAATATTTTGGAAATAAATAGCAGTAAAGCCTGAATCTTAATTTCCCATCTTCCCCTCTGTTTCAGGACATTCAGGACATTCACCCTGACTATTTGTCATTGTAGTGCCTCAATATTTGAATTTACATCATTTTTCTAGAAACGCTTACCAAAAAAGGGGGTTTCAGGCCCCTCAGAGCAAACAGCCCCAAGTTGGGGTTACTTGGTATCGGCTTATGATGTGCCAAAATAAACTAAGAGTAATAATAATAGTGAAAAGGTGCTGAGTGCTGGACCTGACTGTGTAGTGTAGACACAATGAACCTGATCGTTTTGTAGTGATCAGTTGTTACTGTTTTTTCCTCTTTTAGCAGAACCGACCGACTTTTCACTTTCCTGTTAGAATCACTCATAAAATCTCCCAAAACCCCTGAACTTCTCATGTTGTTCACATGTCTAAACTTGCACTATTTGCACTGGAAACATTTGTCATCTTTATGTTTGATGTATTTCCATATAGTGCCCCATTTTTTAGATATTGGTCATTTCACTAAATGTGAGTTTGGTGACCGTTTGTGGTTCTACATCTTATTTAAATAAACACATCTCAAATGTACACACAGCACAGATGAAGCGGGTTAATCACAAAATTAACCTCGCCTATAATCTGTCGTTCTGCTTTGTAAAAACAGAATAAAAATAACATTTTCATTAAATTCTTGTTGAGATTGTTTTCTCCTATTTTCATTTAATATGACTTCAGAAAGACCCAAAAGTAATGGAAAGGACTAAAGTTACATTACTTTAATATAGTAATCCTTTGGATTAGGTTACAATTATATGTTTAACAAGTAATCAGTATCTGTAACTGAGTATGTCTATAAACTAAAATGTTTGTGTAATAAATACTGTCTGGTTTATAGAGTTATATGAAGATTCATTTGAGTAAATATTATAAGTTGTTGAGTGAAGCTGAGTGGAGATGTGCAGAAGGTTCCACTAGATGGCATAATTGTGAAACAGCAGAGTTCATGATAAACAGACTCCGCCCTCTTCAGTGGGTTTTACTGCTTTAAAGTGGTAAAACATTTTAGCCTTTATTCAACAAGTAAAAGTGCTTTTAATGCTGATGAAAAAAAACTATGTAGAAATGTAGAAGATAAAATTCTCAGAATCACATTCTGTGATACAAACTACGCTTTTCTACTAGGAATTACGATTTAGTGTATAATTTATCAGTTTTCAGCAACAAGAACTCAGCTTTTATTATTATTATTTTCAGTGGATCAGCCTTTACTCACTCTGTAAAACATGGTTCTTCAAGGGTTCTTTAGTAAACAAAATGGTTCTATGGTTCTAATGGTTCTTTGCATGCTTAAATTTCACATGGTGAAATGGTTCTTCAGATTGATGGAGAATGTGTTGTAGATGATTCTATGTAGCACCAAAAAGGTTCTTCTATTGTAACAAGCCAAAGAACTGTCTTTTGGTGCTATGTAGAACCATTTTTGCTAAGAGTGTATGAATTCAATTATTACCTGCTAGAAATTAGTGTTTATTTTAGACCAAAACGATCCAAAAGGAGAAGAACAGAGGAAATATACCTTTATTTTCACTGCAGTAACAGCACTTTCACTGGATGATGGGTTTGGATGCTCTGTCTACTCTGCCTCGGGCTGCATTATTGCTTTTACAAGGGTCTGTTCTCTTCCTGTAGTTCTGTTCTATTTTCTCTGTTCCTGTTTAGTTAGTCTACAATTAATAGCTAATTTAGAACACAAATGGATTTTTTAGTGTTTATTCACTAAAACTAAAACAGCAGGTGAAACATTTTATGTAATTTAAAAGCAGAGAGCAAAATAACTTTCAGTGCAATGTTAATAGTCTCATTGTTCCTCGTTCACCAACCATTCTTAAGAAGAAATTTCTTCTTAAACCCATTGACGCAGTTTTCACGAAGATTCTGACTCAATGTTTTCTTATGTGGGATTTGTTGTTAGGTAAGAACAGAATTTACACACACTCAAGAGCCCAAGGGTGAGAACAGTTCTGCGCTTTAAGAACACGTCATGAATCTGACGGAGACTTTTACTTAGGATCTTTCTCAAGAACACACTTAAGAACAAACTTAGGAAGATATTGGAGAATGAGATGCAGTGTTTATTCATATCAGTGTATCAGTTCAGTATTACGAGTATTTCAGTAGGATTTACACTGAGGAATAAAGAGATCCACAGAAAAGGAACAGTGCTCAGAGACTTCGGCCTGCAGTTACAGTTATCTTCTGTTTTACTCTAGAAGGTGGATTAACTGTACAGACTAAACAAGATAAACAGACTGTGCTAATATCTACTGTTCAACTGTGTGGTGGAATTTTAGGCCCTCAGGATCTGAATGTTTCAGCCATAATCTGCACCTGCGGACTGTATGTGCTCTAGTGCAGCACAGATTCATAATGGATTAAAAACACAAATTATATCAAAATGCTAATCCGGCTCAAGATGAGCTTCAGTTTTTAATCTGAATCTTATATTTGCATTTTATAATTTTAACAAATCATAAAAACAGCAGTTCTTTTTGGCTGTCAGTGTGTCGTGGCCGCTCGGTGGTCATATGACCAGTAGGTATTGAGGGTGGGAGATGAACCCTGGGAGCTGAAGTATCAGAGTGGGAAAACCCCTCACTGCTTTGGTCTGGATCAGATACAGTAAATACGCCACTGTGTCAGTGTCTGACGGTAAAAGGCTCTAAGCCCACTATAAAGCTGCTGCTACACTGAGGATTTGTTTATGTTGTGCCATGAATGTTTTGAAGTAGCTTATAATGAGCTCACATACACAAATAATCTACAGTCGAAATAGATGCTAAATGCTGTGGAATTTTCCAGTAAGCTGTCACCTCATGTTTAGTAAATTAGGCAATGAGAGTAGTTGGGGTCATTCAGTACTGTGGTGTCCCACAACTCAGAGTCTAGCTCAGTCAGCTCAAAATAAGAGTAAAAGCACAGAAAGTGGTTCCATTCCTAAATGAACCAAACAAAAAACTGAGAATTCTTCTTTCTGAATCTGTATTTTAGTAATTATTTTAGAGAGGTGTATAATTAACTAAACAAGCTGTGTTTTTTTGTCTTTGCAGGTGAGCAAGTCAAGTGTGTTGTTATTGTGTTTAAATATTAATTGTTTATTGTGTGGGTTGTACAGGAGTGTGATATTTAGAAAGCTGCAGTTGCTTATTTTATCTCAGCATGGCTGTCTTTGTGGAGAGGTGTGAATAGTTTTTCACAGCAGGGGGTTCTCACCCCTCTCCCTTCTCCCCTCATTGCTCACTAGCAGCTCAACAGCATTTCACACACAGAGAGACGACAGAGTCCTAGTTCATCTGATAACTTGTGTTATGGGGCTAAATATTATTTGGTCATATTCATTTAAAACATCTGAGTCTCTTTCCATTCTACTGGCAGAATGGCCACTAGGGGGCACTGCTTTGGCAGTCATTAAGGGGCAGCACCTGTACTTCTGAACAAGCTGCTTTGGGACAGTGTTAGAGAAAGATTAAAATAAATAAACCTGTTAAACCTGTTAAAGTTAAATCAGTGAGAAACAGTGGCCTCTTTTCCACTGTCGAGCTAAATGGTTCTCAGGGCCGTACTGCGCTCTTCCACGCTGGTGCAGACTTATGAGACTGGTTATGGTTTCTTTTTCGATCTGTTGTGTTGCTAAATCAGGAAATATTGAAGAAAACTATACAAATGAGTGGCTAACTGCTAACAGCTACACACACAGCAACCACCGCGAAACATGCCCAATGCCGTCTCCAACTCCAGTCTCTCTGCATGCTCTCAGGTTCTCTGTCCTCTTATTGGGTGTTTTTTAAGCATCACTTCACTGAAACTGAGTATGTACTGCGGTGGGAGACACTGTACACTTGTGTTAGCTTAGCCTAGAAGACTACATCTTAAAACTCTACAGAACAGGTTCGATTTCGGCTTTCTGTCACTCCAACACGAACCAGTCAACTTTGCTCTCGATGAAATAAGTTTTTTTCATCTATACTTGCTTCATATAGCTTTCCGTCCCTCCAACACCAGCAACTTCCTCCGACTTGAGTCATTATCATCTACATTTGTGTCAGTAAAGCTTTTGTTAGTCAAAATAGAACCTGTTCTGTATGAGCAGAGCTGGCAGCATGCTAGCTAAGCTAATGCTAACTAGCTACTCTCTCCTGTTTAGCAGTGCTGTTTAACATTTAGAATTTGATTTTAGATGGAAGCTTTGATGTTTATTAAGTGGAAGCTCGTGCTTGACTTCACCTTCCCAGCTTGGTAACAGTAGCCATGTGTACATGCAGCCTGATAATCTGTTAATAATCCGAATAATGGCTCAATCAAAATAGAAGATGTCCATGTTTACACCTCAGTCGGAATAGTCTAGTCCGATTGAGGCCTTTCAGAATACAGTTTCTATCTGACTGATCGAGGTGGGTAATCCTGTAAATAATCAGTTTATGCTCTGATCTTTAAAAGACGGCGGTGGGACGGACGTCCAGCTTACGTGTCTCAGAACACAACGTCTTACTTTCGGCCTTCTTTAATAAGGACATGTGAAGGACGTTTTCCTGAGTCTGACATAATTTTAAAGTAATTAAAAGCACAAGCGCTGCTCACTGCTGCTCATCTCACTCTGACTGGACTCACGTGATGCTGGTTGTCATGGTAACGTCATTTTGGATCTAATTACTTGTAGTGAGTGAAGAATCCAAACCCTCTTGATTCCAAACCAGGGGACACGATCTGTTGTCTGGACAAGTGAAGTTTATTCGTTGCGCGCACAGGTTCCAGACACCCAGCCAGCCCATAAGACAATGGACTGACAGTTTTATAGCTGGACTGATGCCAGGATTAGACCCAGCTTATACAGGATAAGTAACAGGTGTGACAAACATGACCATATAAGGAGAAACACAAAAATAGGCAGCCTAAAATACAACTTCAGCACATTCACACACAACTCAGCACATTAACTTCCTTCATTCCCCCCTTAGAACATACTATAAAAAAGGTTTATAGTATAAATCAATTTTAAGTTTAAATCAATCTATTCTTTCCTCTTCCAGAGAAATATGGCCAGTATTTCCCTCTTTCTTCATGTCCTAAAGACGGGTCTCTTTCCCTTCAGTCCCCATACAGGCAAATTGGGGAAATGAAGTGGTTCCATGGTTATAGGGAATGCCTACGCCGGTGGAGTTTAGTCATTAAGCAC